AACCATCTGGAGAGCGGCGCTCATATCTTTTTCAGTAAAAGAAGGCATTCTGAATTGATTGGCGTTAGTTTGAAATTAATTGGAATTAAATTGGTAGAGTTGTGACTGTTTAAAGTATATATAAATTGGGTGGCTGGGTTAAAAGTGAGGTGGCCGGTCTGTGGGGGTGGCCAGTCTTTGGGTGACGGACGTTATCTTACAACAGAGAGGACGAAACAAAAAGCCCATCTAGGCCATGCCAAAACGAGCTATGAGCATGTTATTGTCTGTCTTTTCTCTCTTCTCTGTCGTCTGAGGCTCTGACTCACAATAAAAGACGTTTGGCCATGAGCCTTCAATTATTGGCACGTTGCCTGTGACCGACTTATACCCGATCGTTTTCGGCAGATGCTATTAGTTGACATGCACGCCCTTCGACGTTGTGCACGAGTCTCTCGAGCTTTCTCCCCCTTTCTCGGCCTTGTCTTGTTTGGCAGTGGCGATTCCTCCTGAACGGCACTATGCTTCTCCGACTGCGACAGAATGTCGTTTACTTGGTGTAATGGCCGGCCTTGGGCTTCTGTCTCAACTGCAATGCAGAATTGACTCGAGTCCATGACCTTGGCTATGCTTCAACTGACAAGCCTCATGAGCTCATAGCTAACTGTTTCTGACTGCTAACAACGCCCCGTTTCACCTCATCTGCAGCCATTGCCTTATCCCCGAGCCACAACCACGCGGTCCTGTCGAAGTTCTCCCCGCCCCCGGATTTAGACCAAGATTCGGAGTTTGCCACACGGCGCATTCACCTCACTTTCGACCAATCAATGGCAATTATTCTTCCCAATGGGTCAAGTCCAGTTATCAATCGCTGAAATTTCAACCGTAATTTTGTATCTCAACGGCTGCCAGAAAACAGCTCACTGGATGCGAAAGTACTTCAGAAACAATTGCACGATTGTGGCCAATCACCCTCATAATCTTGTGTAACAACCCAGCTAAAAGTTAACAAGTTCGGAGCTCAGGTCGGACGTAAGCATCTGCGGCGTAGTGTGGTGCCTCGATCTGATATGCATGGATGTTTTGGAATCATCCAGGACCCTTGTTTGCATGAACTTTCACGTGATTATTGTCTCAATTCCCTGTCGCGTCTTGAAACATCCGCCACTACATCACGGCTTAACCTATAGTTCAAGATCACGACATGTTCAACCGTATATTCTTCGGGCTGTCGGTGACAATGCTTTGTTGTGACTTTGCTTCGGAGATACATTTCACCGCTTGGTGAGATTGTGCCTTTCTTGAACGAATAAATTTAGAACAGGTGTTTCGTGAATCTGAACTGCTTGAACTGACTTCATTTGGTGTATCGGTAAATGTGTATTGCGACTGTAGTTGTTACCCTCAATTCCCGGTATCGGTCAGTTTATGACGATAAGAATTCCGACCGTGTAGCCATCAGTTGCCATCCTCCTCATCAGCCCAATCAGAGTCAACCCCATCTTTGAACTCATCACGCATGCGTTGACAAGCATGAACCGCCCCAAGTCGGACGTCAAAGACCTCGAGTGAACGAAGCTTCCCGAGAATGGCATCGTCGTCGTGGCCAGGGGATCCGTCTCGCAGCTTATGTACCTCGGTGTTTAGGAGTTTGTACTTCATGGTGAATCTGTAATCTTTGTGAGTGACTGATTAACGAGAAGATGGTAATACTTACTGTTTGCTTACTGGAATCGTTCCGTTTTGACGTGCGCTTTGGGTGTTGGCGACTACAATTACTGTATCGATATTGTTGAGGACGTGGCAGTTTGTTGTTAAATGAATGTGTATGGGAAAGCTAGATAACCAATTCACGAATTAGAATGCGTAGCGTAGTAGAATGGGAAATGATAAAATGAGTCAAAGCGATGGCACTGCCTGGACGTTCTAGCACTGTTGGGCTTTGCATTGTGTAACCTCAAGATCGTGGCTCAGGGTTTTGTGTGTCACCATATCAGGAGGTGGCATGTCTACCTCAGATGCTTTATTGTTACCCACATTGAAAGAGTTTATACCTAGTGATAATAGTCGATAGTGATAGCTACAGTTCAGAGTCGAACTTTTGGTGGTCCCCATTCACACTCTGTTTCCAGCCGAGCAGTGACCCTCAACTTACGGGGAAGTAAGTCGCATTCCGAGGATTCCTACATGGCTGATGAAAGACAGTAGAGAGATCACTAACAAGGAGCGATTTAGTATTTGTTATCGTAAAGAAACCCAGGGGGCCGTTGAAAGGTTCAAGAAGAACCACGATAGTTTGTTCAGCTGAAATGATTTGATGTACTTACTTTATATGAATATTTGACATGGACCCCTAGGGACCTGATACTCCAAATAAGAGTTCTTGAGCCTTGCTGGGGATGCTGTATAAGATCTAAGGCCCAGAGGTATTCCAGTGATGGTCATAAAACCGAAGTTATTGATCCCAAGTGATTGAAAGAATAAGGTAGATTTAGGATAACTTGAGGAAATTTAGGATAGATTTAGGGGAGCTTTATGATCACCTTACCCACTTCAAGGGCTTGGGTGTTCTTGCTTATCAAGAGCAAGGCTTGAGAGGCCCCGGTAACACCATAGAAGTCAGGTCAAAGTTGTCTGTTAACAAACACTGAGTTGACAGACAACTCAGTGGAACCATTGGTAGGCAATCCTCGAAAGACCCAGTCAACAGGAGTATACCTTCCAATAAAACCGCGATAAGCGCTCTTCTCTTTATATTAGAAAAGTCTGATTTAGAACTTCGTAGAAGCATTGTAGGCAGTGACTCACCCTCAGGAGGCCGACCCTGTTGCCAAAAATGATAGTTGCGGACATGTCCTATGGTTGATTGGACGTTTGAAATGAGTTAGATGGTGAAATTTCAAGTCCGAGGAGACGAGAGAGCACCTCGAAAGAAGACGAAAGACATCAAGAACAAAGATATGTAGCGTCAGGGGCAAGGTAAAGAGAGCAAGTTGAGTGAAAGCAGTAACAAGTGGAACTCAAGGATAAAACAAGAGCCATTTGAGGTATAAAATGACTACGAGAGCGCCATAAGAATAGTTCATCAGGTTTAGAAGAGCAGCAAAGATGAATCTTTGAAGGATAAATCTGCCTATTTGTTCATTGTAGACTCTTATCTTCTCTCTTTTGTCTATGACCTGAGACTCAGAAACCAGGTTCCAGGTCTTCTCTAGTTCTGCGGTCTCCGTTAGTGATTGATTTGTCTGCGCTTTTGGGAGTTGTCTGTAACCAGCTTCGTAGTAAGCTGGTCTTCGGAAGCGACAGCTGGCTTAGATGGTGTAAGCAAAACCACAACGGGTTACTGCTCTCGGCTGTTGAGGATCACATTATGGGCTATTATTTGGTAAATGTTACTCTCTTGAGGCATAAGCATCAATAATGCGATTAAACAAGAGGATGATGAATTTGTATGCTGACGTGACAGTGTTGCCATAGCGCTGGTAGTACATTGTCAGATCCTGATGACGTCTGTTAGTAGTAAATGGGGTGCTGATGGAATGGAATTATAGCCAACTGTATTGTATGATCTCCTAACTAGTGGAAGCTATCAAGTTGTCTGCCTCGCGACGTTATATCGGCAGTGCGTGACGCTGAAGTGTTGACAGCTGTTGACACTCTCTGGCACTGCAGAACTTGAAGATTCCTGCATCTCCAATTAGCAATGCTGGGCCCGTTATGCGATAATCCGTCTCAACTGAAAACAAAGCCGGTGCTTTCAATTGACACTAACTTCCTCCCTTACTCATCCATCATCACACTTCTTCACGATTTCGCGTTCTCATCAGGTCTCATAACTTGAGCAGTATCAGCATTTCGTGATGGACTTCCAAACAAGCGAAGCCTACAAATGTTACAACACCCGTAATCGCCCTGATGATAAGTTACCGCCACTCGACTTCCAGGTTTGTGGTCGCTTTGTCGTATCCGTTCTCAAAACGAAACTAATCGACACAGGATGGAATCCTCCACCTCGTTCACGGAGAGGTCTTTTGCCGATGGCGCGAGGACATCAGCGGAGTTCTTTGCATACATGTAAGTTTTGCCCTTAAACCACGGCATCTTAACCAAGGCTCACAAGACTAGGACGACCATAAGACCGGGCATTCCCTCCGACAACACTACGAAAGAGTTCATGGTGCAAAGCTCGCTCAGGAATATCCTACCCAAGGAGAAGGAAACCAAGCTAGAATTTTGAGTGAGAAACCCCGACTGTTATTTGGAAGGAGGTAATACAACTGAAATCTCATCAAATAGGATGGTACGCAGACATTGCCAACGAACTTCTACCCTCCTGGCCGCGTTCTGTCCAGGTGGCTCAACTGGCTGGTCAGGACCTACCTAGGGGCAACGAAGCAAATCAAATGGACTACCAGAGCGCAGTCAGACTCACACGTCTATTCAACGAGCATGGCCCAGACGTGCCATCAAAGGTCAGCGAAGAGCTGCGTCGTCTACTTATCGACGGTGTGTTTCAGCACAAAATGGCTCAAACGGATGGCCCAGAAAGCACCCGATCAGTATGGAGATGTTTGATAATGTAAACAACGAGACGATGTGGATGAACATCACTTACGAGCGATGGTTCATATTGGCCGGTGTGTACAGGATTGAGACACTCCAACAAAAGTGCAAAGGCATCGTCAACGCTGTCCTTGCTCGGTGCGGAGATGAGCTCGACAAGAGCTTGGCTTACTAGCACGCCCAGACGACAGCAAACCACACTTCAGTGCTTCATTACCCAAATGTCTGACACGATCTTCAAGCAGCAGAAGGAAATCGATCGTCTTAAGCATCGTTGACGACCAGTCTGGTGGTAGCCACTAAACAATACGACTGCGAAGGACGACAAGGGCGATAAGATTGTGAACAGGGCAGACTCAACTGGAGAGTTAATACTGCAGACTGGTGTGTCTAACGGACACTGGGACAAGAGGTATAGTGGTCGACAATTGCATCACGCTCAACCTGATGATCTTGCGGCGGACGAAAAGGGGATACACAATTTGTTCATCAGAAACGAGCCTACCATTCTTACAGCTAGTAAAAAGTAATAGCTTCATAGAATTGAGAAGCTCAAACCCCAACCGACAGAGTCCGTTCGTAAAGTTCCCATATCAACCTTGGCGAAATCTGTGGTGGCATTGTCCGCACAGTAGCTTCTCAAGAGCACTTGTCAAGATCACTGGCGTGGATCTTCGGTTGAACTGTTAAAGATCTGAGGCTCAATGAGTCCCATGGCCTGTCGCGCTTACGTTTAGTACGGTTGTAGAGAAATACAGGCAATCTAGGTACAAACTGGCCGTTGGCAGTTCTCCTCAAGAGCTTGTGGGGTAAGTCTTTGTCACAGGTACCAATGCAGACATTCACTTCCTTTGCAACCTTTCTTGAGGAAGTTTTAAATACGAAGCAACTTTAAGCGAGTTAAATCCATCGAAAACCGCGTTATAGAACGTATCTTTCATCATTCTGGTGAGGGCAGGCTTGCATCGTTTTGTACGTTCGATGGCATGTATCAAACCCTTACTAAGCATAGACAATACTCTCACTCTATATCACGGCACCATAACATCACAAATAAATAGAATAGAACTTTTCAGATCGCGGGTGTATTGTTCTGGGACGAAAATCTGTGTTTCGATATCATATCATGATATAAACCCCCTGTCTCCCAGATCATCACAGTGTCCTCAATCCCTAGGCACCAAAGCAGAACAACCCTATAACCTGGCTAGTTCGAATTGTCCGATAACGAATACGGAAAGACTTATAGAAATGTCTGGGCGATAGAACTGAGACATATCAGTCAGGAAAAGAAGGTATCAGCAGGCTTTGTAGATACTTACTGTGCTGTTGGGAATCATCTTAGTTGTAATCCATAGCCTCGCCCTCTGACTTGATGCCGGCTGCGCTGGAGTTGTCCGAACCATTGTTGCCTGTAGTGGAAGAAATGTCGTTGTCTTGGTCGATGTCCTCTTCTTCTTCCTCTTCATCGCTCGTGAGATCCATCAAGTCATAATCCGTGCAAGAAGAGTCAGAACTTCTCGAGGCATTATCCTCATCGTTGACCCTCTCATAGATGTTTCGTTCAGCCTCCAGTTCTTCAATCTTTCTTTCTTGGTCGTCGAGCCTCCTGTTCTGTCTGGAGACTTCGGCCTTCAACTCACCAATCTCATACGCTTGGTCATCGATGTTGTTGTAGCAGACACGTCGATCATAGAGTAGATCTGTGATTTGTTTCCTATTACGGGTGTCCTTGGAAGTTAAGCCAACGATCTCAACGTCTTGGTCATCGATGGTATTATGTAGAATAACATTGTCCTCCTCCTCTTGCGTGATTTGAGCTTGAAGGTCTTCCTTGTCTGCATTCGCCTGGGCGAGGTCCGCCATCAACTTGGCGATAATCTCGTCCTTGGCCATTAAAATGCCGTGGATATCGGAAGGAGCCTGGTAGAGAGTGACCTGAACTCCATCTTCTGGGGTGGGAGACATGCTGAAAGTTGATCTGTAAGGGTAAGATTCCTCATGCGACAGACGATGCAAGAAGCAGCTTTGACGAACCGAAGATGAGAGTACTTGTAGGTGATCAGATAGTCTTCATGTAAGGTCAAAGAGAGCAAGGTATCCTTGATTCAAGCGAAGTTGAAAGTGTCACAATGTAGTTGACTTGTCTGGACCTGTGACAAAAGACTGCCCGGTACAGCAGGTAAAGTGAAGGCAAAGTGCTTTCGTATAATCAAGTTATCTTAATTTAGATGAAGGAATGCAAAGTAGCATTCAAGGCGAATGAATACTGAATGAGTCGCTTGCTCAAGGGAAGTTGGTTGGTTGACTGGTGAGCAAGTTAGTTGAAGGAAGAAACGTTGTAGAAAGCGATGGTGTGGGAAATTTATAGGCGGGGACGACTGAATTGTCCGTGTTGATACAGACAACTATCTACCTTGAGGTGCTTAAGGTACTGTGATTCAATGAGGACCTAAGCAACTCTGTTCCATAACTCATTGTTGAATTTCAAATTAAATAGCCATTGACTTTAGAAGACCTCGATGAAACTGACACAGGCTGACTGATGTATCTCTTCTCGTCCTTTCACCCCTTCAAGCTATGGATCTATGGACTTCATTCTTGTACTTTAAGATTTTGACTATCGCACTCGAAAACAAAGGCTGGCTGTACTCTACTCTCAATATACATTTTAGCATCATGTTTCTTCCTTGAGTTCCATCATTTTCGAGATGTCAGGGGGCTATCAAATCCAAAACAGCACCGAAGACTGCCTTTCGTCTTCTCGAATCGCCTGGACTAACAAATACTGCCCCTATAATTATCAGTGAGCTTCTTGATATACTATGCAGGATAAGAAAAGGGGGGTAATGATATCGTCCACTTGCTCGGTATCAGTTGTATGAGGTCACATGTGCATTCATTGGACACTTCATTGAATATGTTTGCGTACAGATAATTACCCCAGTCTGTTCCCATAGAAGGGATTGCATTATAGTACAGAAACTAAAACCATAGACACAAAAGCTCAAGGTTATTTCCTACTTCATAGGTCCCCTGATTGCTATCTTGGTTTGGCAGCGAAATTGATATATCATTCTTAATAAAGAGGCTCTTCAATGTTCACATCTGTTCCCTGCGATGTCTGAATATTCTTTTTCAGGAACTTTACTGGACATCTTTACATTACCGGATTTACGGACAATAAGGCGTCACTAACGTTGTCTGAACCTTCTATCATGATTCTTCACGTATTAGGGAAGGACTTCTGTAGGCACATCGCTATGATACCTAGCTGTTGTTTACTCGTCGTCTCTCACGAGAGAGCCCCTCTACTATCGCAAATAACGGGCAGAGTAGTTTCTCTCGTTGACTCGTCATCAGATTTGAGCTCGCAAAGTTTTCGAGTCTAGAAAACAATACCACCGAGGCTTGTACTCAAAGTGTCGCCGAATAGTGGCCTGAACATCTGCAGGATAGTTTCCTCGTCGTCCCCGTGCTCTTAGCATTACATCTCCTGCAACAGTCGCCAAACTGCATCGTGCAGCTCTTTCCAAGCCTCAGGAGAAGCAAATAAGAGGTGTAGGACCTCTCCTTCAGAAACAGCACCCACGGGTGGTGTAAAGTATGCTGGAAATTGTTCATCAGCAATCTATAGTCATGTAAGGCAGTGTTGATTTCAATCAGAATGCAGTATATACTAGCTGTTTCTTAGTGTTGCTGGACTCCTTATTCATGTGCTTGTTGACTTCCGCAAGGGCCATGCTGATAGACATGCCGTCGCTCTTATTGACCAAGACGGTTTTCCGAGCATAGTAGCCTTGCAGTAACCAGAAGCTCTCACAGTAGCTTATAAGCGTTTTAATCTTAAAGGCATTGTCGATATTTGAAAGAAAACATTGGCTTTAATCATCTTCTGGGGTAAATCGGTCCGTGAAGATGAGGAACCGGGGGTTTTCCTCATCCTCTGCGGAGAATTCTGGCATTATAAACTGGCTGAGTTTGTTCGTTGGCGGGTATGAATACACGTTTGCGACACGCGGGTTATCCGGGTCTTCTTTGAACTTCTCGAAAGACGTCTTGTGAATGACATGCTCGTCCTCTTGCCCTCGATCGAACCTGATGCGGTTTTTGATCTGGTCTGATGGGCATTTGGGGCAGCCGAATGTCCCTTGGTCCTTGAAGGCGGGGTCTTGGTAGTAGCGTTCGATGGTCGTTGTCATCATGACTCCCATGTCTTCGATCTTCATTAGGAAGGGTTCTTTCTTCTGATGTACTACGTCAGTCTGTGCGGCGGCATTGCGTGCGATCGGCAGGGGATCAATCGTCTCTATTCAATCCTCCACGGAAGGCTTAGATTCACCAACCACCTTGGCTCTTTGGGCGGCATTGCGAGTGCTCCAGATGTCACTCCCGTTTGATGACGGGAAGAATATAGGTCTTCTGATTCTGCAGATCGGTAACTGAGAAATTTCTCGTTGTTGCTGTCGTGTAGGGTGTCGTTCTCGTCATTTACGAATTTGTTTTCATCTTTGATCCGCTTGACGCGGTCACGGAAGGAAACGACCTCGAGGTGATCGGAGGGTAGTTCAATGATCTGGTTTGTAATCTCCAGTCTGGTGCTCCCAGGTAGAATTGGCCCAAGTGAACATTGTGCCCCTTGGCATGGTAGGCTGTCCCGCAGCTTCGCTTAGCTTGTGACTCGGCCACTCGCTTGACATCTGCCTTGCCGTGGAGCTCTATGAGATGCTCCTCTTTGCCTCTCCACATAGGCGTTAGTGTATTGAGACATGTGCTTACGTTACTCAAGTCTTCATGCTTACGGGCAGCTACTCGGTAGAGCTCGTCGTTCTTCCTAGCCAGCTTGAACCGCCTTGTAGAAGAGAAGACATATCTCCAGGCCTTGGTCGCCAATATACCTGGTAATCACGCTTTTGTTCCTTCGCATGGGTAGCAAGCATGTGCCCCTTTGTTATCATAGAACACTGGCCCGACCTCAAATATCGACCAGTCACTGCTGATTGAGCCATTGAAGACTCTTTTCACGTGCCCAAGGCCGCCAGCAAGATAAAGACCATTAGTTACGCCATCGACCAACATTTGCGCACGTCCTCGGTGCCAAATATGAAATAGGCTGTCAACCGATATATATAAAGTAGAAATAAGGGCCGTTGGGCTGGTGGGCAATATGTCTTGCTCAGCAAATACCTCTCATGTGAAATATAGCAAGACGTCTGCAGTCGCGTTTGCTTCGAGCTTCAATGGTTGGCATTTAGGATACCCGACAGAATGCCAGTGGGATTCTGGTTGTTTCGGGGGAAAGCCAATCATGTCACCCAAGCTTCATGAATCAACTGGGCCTTGCGTAAGAATCATGGTGATATCTCAATTGGCAAGTCGTTGTTGTATGGTTGAGGGGACAGAAAGAGAAATTGTCTGTCGTTGGCTCTGTAGCCCCGTAAGTAGTTTGAGGAGACCATTCCTACAGGCATCGAAGCTGGGATGAGATTAACGCGATATGTTGGCGAAATCTCCAAGCAACTCGTACCAATCTCGGCGTACAGTTGTAGCATGCGCAGTGAGTGAATTTCCCTTGGGTTGAGATGTAAGTTCGGGACTCGCTTGAATGTTCTTGAAGATTTGCTGCTGACTGAGAGTTTTCAGCAGGACACTGCGACAGACGGCTTTGATTCGTTACCAAAGGTTTCTTTCAAAGTGCAGTTTCGCCTTCAAATATGCGAATGTTCCTTGTACCCCTTGGAACTGAACACAGTAGTGCATTCCTTGTCACTAAGTTCGAAGGGACAGGAAGCCAAACCCATCTGTGTATACATATTAGCTACAGAGTGATCAAGGAGCTTGATGCGAGTTTAAGAGGGGACTTACTCTAGCTTATACTATACATATATATATGTGGGTTTCTCGTGTTGTATCTGTCGATACTTTTGCACATGGTGTTTTCATAAAGCTGTTTGATGCCGACTGGTTCTAAAGAGTATTCTTATTGAACTTCAGACCTCCGGAATTCGTGGTGTTCTCAGACCAAAATATATGTGATAGAAGACCGGTATAGGAAGGTCCAGGGGTTGTGTGGACTCCATGTTGTCAACATGATTCCTGTCTCTGAGATGGGCAACCCAGATTGATCATCGGGCTAGGCTGAAGGTAGGCAGCAGACCTTCATCGGGCAACTTGTTGAATAGATTCCACTACTGAACCCATCTTCTGATCGTGTCAGTATGTCGAGGTTTCTTCTTGGACCGCCAATGTCTCGCAGGTCGTCCTCAAACACGCTCTTGGCAATATGCTGAGAAGAATTTATACTCGGGGCGGTAATGACCGTTATATATAGTTGAACTGCTGGTATTTGTTGGAGAAAAGATCCTTCTTTATGGTAGACTTAGACGATGCTGGTCTTTCAATTACCGTCAGCATCCTCTGAGTGTTGCCAGATGTTAGCATCAATTCAAGAGAAGAATCTCATATCAAGCCATACTCGCCACACGTGGAACAAGAGTATTCACCGCATTATCCATACCTTACGTGACTGGCATTGGATATAAGCATGGGATGTTCGACCACAGTTTTACACGTTGTTGTCCGGCCTAGGCGCCTTGCGGACAGCACCAGATCCATGCTTAAGCAAAAGAAAGGTCCTGTGAATTTGGGAATACCAAGACATTTGTTGTCCCAGGCTCCTTAAGAGGTCTTGCGGGACTCTTTTTATACATCAGCCTTCATTGACTTGACCCATCTTTGGGGGGCCTTACCTTCATAGCGAAGGACGTTTCGCAATCTCCACATCCGTCCCATGCTTTTACGAGAATCTTTACGGTGTTCGTTCCATCTGGCATCAAATAATATATGGCCATAAGTTGGATAATATGAGGTAGCCGTCGAAAGCCCAGATATCTCGACTCCACGGCGCCTGCACTCCAGGTGACAATGATGGTGAGATACAGAAGAACAAGTAGAAGATGTGACAAGGATGAACGGAGAGGAGATATTTATAGTAAATGAGAACAGGGAGAAGAGACATGTGAGTCGGTGAAGAAGTTACCAGAATCTTCAGCTCGCAAAAGGGGGTGGAAAAGGCTGGCAAGCAATACATACGCAAACAGTTTGCAAACATCACAAGCTGTGTTAGGCATTCCACGAGCAATTCGTATCCCTCTATGCGTGCTCATTGCTGGGGTCACCTTTAGTCACAAGCATAGATGACTCGAAATTTGCTTCACGGAGCTGCATATTTCACATTTGCGAGTGTACACGGCAGAACAAGTATTCAACCTAAATAAACGTCGGTCTGCTGCCTCCTGGGGTGCGATTGACGAGAATAATATCCTAAATGCTTAAATCCGAAGCAAAGCATTTCCCTCAAGATACCTTTCAGATCGATCTCTCCGTGTGAAATACCGGACAAATCAGAAGTTCGAACATTGTGCTTATCAACGGCGAGTAGTATCTTGAACGGTCAAGACGTTGTCATCCTCAGCATACGCATCCACCTTATACTTGGCAAACTCGCGGGTTGCCACATTATTAGCAAACAGAAGATCAAGCTCTTCAAACGTCTTGTTCTTGGTTTCAGGAAGGCGGAAAAACGTCCAAATGAAGAAGACAAAAGAGCAACCTCCCCAGAAAAAGCCAGTTTTACCGCGCCAGTTTCCTGCAGTTGGGTTGAGCATATAAGGATTGACGACATTGCAGATGATTTGAGCAATGTAATAGGCAATTCGGCTGACACAAACAGATTTGTTTCTCAGTCTGGTCGAAGAAACTTCCGAGATGATTGCGTAACAAACAGGTCCAACAGTCATGTAATACACGCCTAACCATATGAGCATCATACTGGCCTGCGCGTAGTTTCCTGCCTGAGAGTCTCCAGCACCGACGCTGATGAATCCAACAATCATCAACACAGCCGTGAGCAAGCCAAGGCCCCAAAGATACAGTGTACGTCGACCAAGGGGAAGCAGCCACCAAGATATGATTGTGCCCACAGACGCAATTCCAAGACCACCAACAGACATTCTGAAAGAAATCGACTCAGGCAAACCAGCCTGCACGAAGAAGAAAGTCGGAGTACCACCCATGGAAGATCCACAGAAAGGCTGGGCAGCAAAGGCCATGCAGGCGATCTCGGTTCTGCGTCGGTCAACCCCACGGAAGCAATCCAGATACGAAGTACCTTGGTCGATGGACTTTTCAATCTCATTGGTATGTATCATCATGGCAAGAGCCTGTTTTGCATGACCAGGAGTTGTTGAGGAACTTAGACGGGTGATTGACTTCTCAGCGTTTTCGTAATCACCAATCCGGACGTAGAACCACGGAGATTCGGGGGCGAAGAAGAGGACGATGAATAAAGGAACAGGCCATGCCCATTGGATTGCGAAGGGGATTCGGTAGGACCAGTGCCCGGTCGTATTCGAGAAGCCTGCTTGTACTCCAGCCGAAATAAGCTGTCCTATGGCCCAACAGAGGTTGACATAGACAGTCAAATATCCTCTTAATGCCATGGGGCACACCTCTGATGCATATGCAGGAGCCATAGTGGCAAAAACGCCCCATGGGATGCCGCAAAGGAACTGGCCAACAAGAAGGACCGGAAGACTCGGTGAGAAGAAGGAGATAAAGATGCAGCCACATATGGCAACCAAGGAAGTGAGAAGTACTTTGCGGTAGCCGAACTTATATGTGAAGTAACCATTGGCAAACGCGCCAATAATAGTCCCAACGCTCACGGCATTCGAAAGTGCATTCTGCCAGGAAGCTGTGATTTGCCAGGAGTTGGATTTGGGCTGGTAGCTTCCATAGTGCTCTCGGAAGGATGGTTGGGCGAAGAAGGATGAGATAAGAACGATATCGTAACCCTCCATGATGATCGAAGTAGAGAGAAGGACCGACCACATGACAGCCTTGGGATATTTCCGAATGGCCTGCAGCAACGTGAGGTTGTGTTCCTCTTCTGCGGCCTGCTTTGCGATGGACGTATCTTTGACCGTGTCGTAATTTGGGGCATGGTCATCTTCGCTGACCCTAGCTACCTTGTCGTCTGTGAGAGCAGCCATGATGCAGAAAAGTATGCAATGGGGGCCTAGATGTACCTGAGACCAGGATAAGACGACATCGACTGCCTGTCGAGATGAACCAGGATCGGCGGCATGAGCTTCATTTATAGGGAAACAACAGAGACCACAGACATTGGTCGCCTGACGAACCCCAGGCGCTTCGTCCCATATTGTCTATGAAAGTCCTGGTTTCTTGATGATCACCCGGGGATTGTGGGGAAGAATCTGGGGATATTCTGCCAAGGATCTCCAAAAGCTTATTGCCCTAGCTCGCGTTGAAGAATATGGGGTTCCAGTGGGGGCATAGATGGATACAGATCTCATGGTGTTTTGACCCCCACCGGAGCTCTGAAGCAACTGAAGGTCCGGCGGGGGAGGGGAGACACTTCTGTCAAAGTCACTGAAACTTTGACGACATTCAGCCTCGTATTTGGCTAAATAGCGGATTGCATTACTGTAACATCGATGAGGGCCTCAACCTGCATGTCCGGGTTGATCCCGGATTACGCGCATGAGGAAAGATGTGCCTGCCGGGAATTATGATTAAACGTGTTGTCAATGGGATCTTTGTTTCATTGTGGTGAATGTCGGATATCATTGAGGGTTGTGATTGGTGATAGTGAAGCAAAAGAAATGATATCGGATGTAAGGTACTCGCAGTTGAGGTATCGGAATTGATTGAATTGAGACCGGCAAGGATAACATCAGGTAGTACCCTGTGGTCACATCATCACATGTAGGTCGGCTCAAGATAAGAATATATGGATGTTACTATAGGGAGCCGGCTCCTTCCATCTGCCCATTCGTTGATAATGCATTTTGAAGAAAAAGGAGAGTCAAGTCACCAATGCGGAACAAGAAAGATCCATCCCGCCACCTTCGCTTGTCTTACTCCGCACTGCAACATCCATGAAGCTCGCAACTATCGAACGACATCCATCATGAGAAAATGATTCACGAATGATCCTCATCGCAGCGTCGTGAGTGTATAGAAAGATGGAGAGCGATGACGAGTATAGACCGGTAGACAGCGATGACGAGCCAGCACACTTGCAGTGTCACCACTGTAGGCGCATCTTCACGCGCTCGGAACATCTACATCGCCATTTGAGAGTACATACCCATGAGAAACCATTTTCCTGTACGAAATGCAATAAATCTTTTGCACGGCTAGATGTTCTTCAGAGACACGAAATCACACACACGCACATAAATCCCTTAACCGCGAGCGAGAAAGTGGCGATCAGAGCGTGCAAAGAATGTGCTGCTGCCCGCAACCGTTGCTCAAGAGACTCGCCATGCACAAGATGTGAGGATAAGCGTTTGGATTGCATCTACCCTATGCCCAGGAGACGAAAACCTCAGCCTGTGCCCCAGAAGGAGGAGAAGAGGAGGAGAAGGAAGAAGAAGGGTTCGAATCTTCAGTCACCCGAACCATTACCCGCACAAAACTTGCACGAAGATGCGGAGGGTGAAGATGATACTCAGGCACCAGAGCCATTGGCGACGGTACCAGTGGAAACGGGGCCGTTGGACACGGAGCCAAGAGAAACAGAGCTGGCTATAAACAATAGCGGAATCAATGATGCCAACAACGTTTCTTGGAACATCAATGGTTCTAACGCTTTCACGGTTCCTCCAGCAGACGGAACTTGGCCACCTAATGATGAGTCAATTGCCGTTGCACCACAACCAATGAACCCAATGTTCCAAATCGATGACATGGGAAGCTTTCAAGAAGTACCGGATCTCACCACGGCTATCCCCAATATCAATTGGCTCTCGGACAGTCAGTTTGCTCCATTGTGGGAGAATCAATTGCCTATTATCCCCGAAGGCCTTGGTTCAATGGCATACACATTTCCTCCTGAACTAACTGGACCCAATCCTGTCTCTTCTTGGGTCCCAGAGCAGTCCATGGGCGTCAATATGAGCATTAATGGCCCAATGGAAACGCCAGCCATCGAACTGGATCAAACACACTACCCAACAGTTGTGGAAAGCCCTTACGACGGACAAGCGAGCAGTGTTAACGACTCCAATGCATCATCTTCAAGCAATGGAGCCCTCTACGTGGATGGAACAGCAGCTAGAGCCCCATTTCGTGGTCAACTACTCCCCCAGCAAGTCAGCTTACAGAGCAATCGTCCTGAACAGGACCCCCGCCTCCCCGAAGCAGATGGGTCAGACTACAGTTATCTAAAATCCTTAGTAGCGAGTATGCGAGAATCCCCTGATAACACGTTTGTGCCAGAGGCTCTCTACTCCCAACTATCGTCCGTGGTTCAGAATGAGATCGGGATCGATCCATCACTTGATCTAGACGCTCAGATCCCCCCTATGGACCATATCAGGGGCTTTGTGCTGCTTTATTACCGATGCTTTCATCCGACGTATCCGTTTCTACAGAAAAACTCCTCCGTCTGGCAAGTTTCAGATAACTGGATCCTGTTACTAGCTGTAGCAACCACTGGAGCTCGATATGCTGGAAGTAGGTGGTCATCGGTTATGTCAGAACTTCTAGACAAGGCCTTGAAGCACAGGGTTGACTCCATAATCAAAGAGAACACCGGTAGTGCAAACGGCATTTGGGTGCCAGGCAGCTTTCAATCACATGGCCGGATGGACCTCCAGACACTTCAAGCAGCTATTCTGAACTTAATCTCTCGAATTCATAGCGGCCAAGAAGTCATGATGGAATGGGCTCTGTATCAAAGGCTCGCTCTCATAGAAGAATGCAGGACAATGGATCTACTTTCACAGACCCCACCACAAACTGCTGACACGCCAGTTCAAAATGGCGATGTAGCTGTCACAGGATGGATGCAAACTCAATCGAAGTTGCGCACTGGCTTGATGATTTGGGTAAGTTGAGCCCTAACCTTCAGAAACACACTCTCATCATCATTAGATCCTTGACACAATCGTTTCTCATGAATTTAACTGTCCCCAAGTATTGAAAGTACACGAGCTTAGAACAAGACTTCCGTGCCGAGAGTCAATATGGGATCAACCAACCGTGGAACAGATATACAGTAGAGACGCGCATCAGGGTTTGTATTCTGAAATCCAACCGACCGACATCTGGCTTATACTGACTTTAGAACATTCGGATAGTAACGGTACTCGAGGCCCTTCATCTTCTTTACATGGAAAAGCGGCAGCCATCAAACTTAACGGAGTTTGGAAACATCGTCTTAATATATGCAGTTTGTGCGAGGACCAAAGAAGCAGCCTACCAGTATGGAACGGCCTTGTCACGATGGACTCCAGTTGCTCATGTTGAGCCACGAAAGGAATCAGTTTCTATGACTGAAACATGGCCACCAACCCTCGAAATGGTCACAAGATGGAGAAATAGTGCCTGTGACGCCTTTGATATCTTGCATTGGAAAGCGAACGGCAAAGCGGCTAATGCTGGTGGGACGGAGCACCCGACGATTCTTCACCTTCACCTTTCCCGGTTGTATATCTTGACACCTACGAAGCATTTTCAAAAGGTCGCTGCGTCTGCAGTCCTACGACAAAATGACAATGAACTTCAGAACAATATGGAATACTCGGAAGCCTGTAATCACATTCAACGTTGGGCCAACATCGACCAGTATAAGGCAAGGCTGTCCATAATCCATGCTGGCGCTTTGTTGTGGCATATCCGTCGATATAGTAGCAACGACTTCATAGAGCCCCATGCTATTTACCTTGCTACCCTCTCGATATGGGCTTACAGCGTGTTCAATACCCCTAGGACTGAGTCCCAGCAAGAACACGGTGATGCCGTATCAAGGTCGGTGCCAGCTTCCGGGGATCGTGAATCGCAGGGATCGGTTGGAAATAATGAGGCCGAGAGCGAGGAGGAGCCAGATCCGACGTTCATCCATCTAGATCGTCCTTGTGATGATGAAATGGTCCAAGTCTACATACGTCTAGGGCATAAGATGGCTGGTCACATGCAGAGAGTTGGCAATATCTGCAGCCCCAATGCTCCACCGAAGATTCTCAGAGAAGGTATAAGGATGCTATCACATGCAAGAGCCAAAAACAAGGAATGGGGGATCGAAACTTCCTATGTTAAGGGCTTGACAAGTCTGTTACATGGTACCACTGCACAAGAAAACGAACGTGCAAGCGGAACACGTGTATTCTAATAACCTCTTCTCAACTTCCCCTTGTCATCTTGAGATGCCCGCTCTGTCAGAGTGCTCTACGTACCATGAACTCCCAGCGGCCCGAAAGTCTCATGCTCCTCGAACAAAGACTGGCATTTGAGTCAAAGGACAGTCAACAGTGACAGTTGTTCCGGATTCGTAAGACTCATCACCGTTGAAAGAAGACCACTTCTCTCCATTTGAGAGCTTGGGTAGGTAGACTTCCGTCTTGGTTTGACCTGGTTCCAGTACAGGACAGACCAGATACTTGTCACCATAGAGGTACTGAGTCGAAATGTCCCAGCACTTCTTATCGCCAGGGAACTCATAGAACAGAGGCCGCATGACTGGTGTTCCCTTTTCATGTGCTTCTTTCATAAGCTTTCGAGTGTACGGTCGAAGGTCCTCCCTGATCTTGATATACTTGACACAGATATCATAAACTTGAGGGCCATAAGACCAGACCTCGTTAGGTGCTCCACTGCGACATGTCGCACCGCCGGTCGTCCCTTGCTGTGGTTGCTGAGGTTCACGATCACCATGAAGTCTCATAACAGGGCAGAATGCGCCCCACTGGAACCACCGCACAAAGAGCTCTCTGAAGCCTTCGTTGTTGGGATCGCCTCCATGGAATCCGCCGATATCTGTGGTCCACCAAGGTATACCCGAAATACCCATGTTGAGGCCTGCGCATAGCTGGTTGCGGAAGCTAGACCATGAAGAAGCAATATCTCCGCTCCATACCAGAGCTCCGTACTTCTGGCTGCCAGCCCAAGCACAGCGAAGGAGATTGACAATGTTCTTCTGGCCCGCTTCTTGTTGGCCTTCATAAAAGGCTTGAGCATAGTTGACGGGATAGATATTTCCAATCGTCCCGTTGGAGCCTAGCCAGTATCGGTAGTTATCAAAGTCGTATGCTGCATATTCTGGTTCTGCTTCATCTAGCCAGAACGTCTTTATGCCTTTGGAGTAATAGTTCTTGTTTACTGTGTCCCATATGTATTTCCTTGCATCTGGGTTTGTGGTGTCAAGATGTACCGTTTGGCCCTGGAAGTCCAGACCGATCCGGACACCTCTATCAGTGCGGATCAAGTATCCGTGCTCCAGCATGTACTGGTAATTTTCAGCTGTTTTATCAACAGTTGGCCAGATAGAGACCATGAGCTCGATTCCGAGATCTGTGAGCTCTTTCACCATGGCATCTGATCGTTGTTAGCAATCCTCTTCTTCAATATGTTTAATTGGTACTCACCAGGATCAGGCCAGTAGTCTGAGTCGAATTTCCAATCTCCTTGCTTGGGCCAATGGAAGAAATCGATGACTATGAGATCAATCGGAATTTCTCGGCGCTTGTATTCTCTAGCCACCTCGAGAAGCTCCTCTTGTGTCTGGTATCGTAGCTTACACTGCCAAAACCCAAGTCCATACTCAGGCATAATGGGAACTTTGCCAGTAGCATCTGCGTATGCTTCCACAATCTCAGCTGGCGTGTCCCCTGCGACAATCCAATAGTCAAGGATTTGAGTTGAGAATGCTTCGAAGCTCATGATGTTCTTGCCAAATACAGCCCTTCCTATCGCGGGGTTGTTCCACAAGAGTCCATATCCAAGTGAGGACACAGCAAAGGGAACGCTTGCTTGAGAGTTGCGGTGTGCAAGCTCAAGATCGAGTCCTTTCAGGTCAAGCCAAGGCTGTTGATACTGGCCCATTCCAAAGATCTTCTCATCTGGACTGACGCTCTCAAGACGCATTGTCAGATGATAGTTGTCTGTTCCCAGTATTCCCTTGAACTCGCGAGCCTCCACTTCCAGAGCACTGCACTTCGGATCGAGAAGATCCCGCCTATGACGAGAGTACTCTTCCAGAATCAGCTTCCCATCAGCTTTCTCAATAATCAATTTGCCCTGGCGGGAGATGCGGGCTTTGATGTTTCCATTCTTGATGGATGCAGACTCGTCAGAAATAGAGATTTCTGGCGTCACTTCTGCAAGCTTCTGAAGCGCCCAGTCTTGCGATGGCATCACGGCAGCTTTGGTCGCCCTCACGCGGAACGCATTTGGACCCCATGGTTCAATCCAGAGTTCCTCCGCATCATATTTGTAGCCGAGGCGAGTCTTGTCGTCGAAGAGCATGGTGATTTTGAGCCTTCAGATGGCAGGGGAATGATACTGCCTTGTGATGAGAGTGAGAAGAAAAGAAAATAGCCGAATTCTATGTTTCACAAAAGCCATGAGTTTCTCCTTCTGATCCTGCCGTCGTGTAATAAGTATCTCAGTTGATGTTCTCCAAGTCGTGTAAGCCAATCGCTTCCCCGCCGGAGTAATGCAAGTCCTCCAGTCGGGCAGCAAAATGATGATCCAATCATAGCAGCATTCATGAGGGAAACTACAAGTTAAGAATCCCCGCCGGACCTCTAATTTATCCATTTGGTGCCATACTGCTTCGGACTATGTTACGTATTGTCCAGTAAGGTAACAAAACTTGGGATATTTATCCTAAATTATAGAAAGGCTTAGGTAAATTTAGTATAATTTAGCGTAGTTTAGTGGACCTTTAAACTGGTTTTGATACTCATCATCAAGGTCAGAGGTCTTCTGTTGTTATCAAAATATGCTACGGTGTCGTGACCGTTTGACACTTGGATATGAAGAGCGAGTCCGCTGAGCACGGTTAACCAAACACAACGATGGTTCTTGCAGATTAAAGAATGAATTATGGTCCTTGAAGAGCAATATAATGAAGTTTTCGAGCGACAGAATGGTGGTACCGGATATAAATAACAAAGCAAAATGGTATCACATCTTATACCAAATCCCACAACTGGAGCAGATATGCCTCCTCAGGCGAGAGGTATTCTTTTCTCGAGCCAAAAGAGTACTGGGACTTGGCCCTTAAATTCGAGGAGCTATTTTACCTGGAAATCCTGTGCGAATCATTCCCGTTGGCTCTCCTAGGAAACTCCTTGTGGCAATCAGGTACCTAGGGGTGAGGGACAATGAAGTCGCTCATGGGTTCCCATGGCTTTCAGGACTGGATTTATTTGAATGATTGAGAGGAGGCTAAGTACTAAATGATCAAACAGAGTACATCAACGTTGTGAACCTGAGTCTCCCGCACAACATTGTATACCCCCAGTTACTCCGTCTATTTGTCTTCAAAGGAGACAGAATTGGGTTGATGCCGCGGAAGGAGGATGAGCAGCGTGAAGCCACTTAATCTCAGGGCAGTCTGAAGTTCTTGAATAATGCCGACCCCAAGGCGGTATTGGTGACGATGTTTATAGCACAGATATTGCTCTCTGCCTTCTCGCAACCTCTTTCAGACATTGGTGGAGTTTGTCGACAGACGCAATATCACGAAGGTCGATGCTTTTATTGTAGTTTGGGCTGTTCTAAGTCGGGCTGCAAGCTCAAACGTGCCCACAACAGGGACAAAAAGAGAAGAGTATGCAGGGACAGGAGAGGTCACAAGAGAATCTAATGAATTCCCAGAGATCCCCACAAGGATATTGTTGGAACTTCTCGAGGATAGAGACAACCACAGGTTTATAATCACGGTTGATCATGTATTTAGCAATGAGACCATGGGCTTCAAGCCCCGTCTGGCGAAAAGGAAGCCGGTCAATATTCCGGCACCTGGGTGTGGGTTTTGCGCGGCAACGCAACTGAACGTGGAGACGTTGGCGGGGTACCCGGGCAGACTTCTCTTTTCTTCTTAACAGTCTCTCTTCCAAGGCAGTCAGGAAATGCAAGACTTGAGATTGCCCGGGGGTGCCATGGTATCCAATAAATGCTGCCAAGTAAAGGGGCAAAGTTCAAGTCTTGCTCTAGACACGTAACTGCCCTACAAGTGCTAGCAGAAATCGAAATAGTCGCTTTAATTTGATTGCCAAAGACATTCTGAGCGATGCAAACTTCTGCCATTGTTGCATACCACAAGATATAAGCTCATCTTGGGTCAGGCTGGGGCAAGAGGTATCTTGACGGTTTCGCCGGCACTCTTTGCAGAAATTCAGGACAATGCATTTGAATATCTCTTCTTTGGAAATCTGTGGCGATTAGTATAATACAGATAAATAGTACGGTCTTTACCTACAGGACACAAGCGTGGCGACAAACACATCTATAAGACAGGAATGGTTTGGGTCATTTGGGTTAATACTTGTATGGCGTTGGAGACACTGTAGCATCAGTAAACCCATTTTGTGGTTCTTTAGGGTCTCAATTTGTGATAGGAGAGGATACACCCAACCGCACCCTCAAGGACAGAGTTCTGGATTCTCTACAAATCTGAAAACATCGTCTTTCTCGCGAAGTTGTTGGAGTCCCCGGCCAATAGCCAACACGTCTCTGACCCCGTTGGCAAATGCGGATATCAGTCGAATTGGAGTTGCCCAAGAGGACCAACCAGGCCCGGGGGGCTTGGATGTAGGAATCACATCACCTAGCTTTTATCAGTATTGTAAATGCAAAGATGTAATTGACCAACCAATATCCTCAATTGAAGAGCTTTGTAAAGAGATAACATTACTCGTTCATTCAGTGGTGGCACAGCCCAAAGAAGTAGGCTTCTCTGGCCGACATCATCTTGGTCGCAAATCTCCTCTTTAATTGTATTTACTCCTAGAAGTTAGTAGATATTTTTAAGGGAGGAAGGAGAAAAAAAGGGGGGGCGAGGGTCGGTTTCTGACCTTGGGGGGTATTCTCCTTACTTGGGCTGGGTTGGCTCGAGCTACCGGAAGGGATTGTAACAAAGCTTCAGTTGTCTCCTCATTGCTGTCGTGTTCGTGTTTAATCGTAACCATCTCGGCTGCACAATGGCCTTTTACTATGTCGTTGAAAACGCCGAGGTCCTATTAGGCGATAATGTCTCCATCGTCGGCATCGAACAGGTAGCAGCTAGCTTCCAATGTCACTTAGAAGCCAGTCGATGGGAGTTGCGTAGGTAGTGTCCATGTCATCTTCTCTTGCCTCTGCTCCGATCGTCAACATTCCGACAACACACACCCTGAGGTCAGAGACACAAATCCCATCATCCCCCCTAGCAGAAAATGGCTCTCGTGATTGCAATCTTTCCAGCACCCAATATACACAACTCTTCATATTTGTAGAATATGTGCTGCTCGACAGGCCTTCGTCTTACAGACCTAACCGCATTGGCAATGCCAAAGGCTAAACCAGCCCGTTTTCCATATTTCACCACAAGGGCCTCCTTTCCAACCGTTTTAGCTTCGCGTATTGGGCACCTCATCTTATCCTCGCTCGGAGTACTCGTCAACTCGAAGGTATTGGGAATGTTTGCCTTCAATTGTCCTCTACACCTCGCTGCTACGTCAAGGTGCAGTTCGACGAACAAAAAGTCTTCCATCTGTTCCTATGTGTCTGATTCACATATAACCCTGTTCCTTAACTGGGCGACTGAAGTCATGTCTTTTCTGGTCAAGTTCGATTAATGCCCAATCTCGTAGTCGACGTCTTCCTCCAACATTTGGGCCAATTCTGTACTTCGGTGAGAACAATACATGACCTCCGGCGTAACGGCGTACTGGGGTTACCTGTGTAGATGCAGTCCGGGGTTGCCTGGGCCGCTAGCAGATGGGCTCCAATCACTCGGGCTTTCCAGTCTTGCAGCTTTTTGTACTGGTCCGACCAATGTTTGAGAGGCTGTGGCCTGTGTTGGTCTTCGATAATATCAGATTGAAGTTTCGGATCGTTGATGTCATTTGTCAGTCGAAGCATCGGCCCACGTAGCTTTATTTCCAGAATGTACTCGACTTTGCGGTCTCCGATTTGTGTATACCAGAAACAGGTGCCGAATCGTCGCGATACCGACCATTTTTATCACAGTACCGTGAAAACATACAGTGTTGACATGTCAGAGCCAGAACTTTGCCTGCTTTATTATCCCAGAGGTGCTCCCGATATGTCGTGCTACTCTTCACTTCCTTCTTCACTTTACGGTTGCCTCTGGAAACGTTGGCACTCATAAGATTGAAGCAGAGTGCAGCGAGGGTGGCGAGATGAGCACACTGAGCATCGATGTTCTCGTGAATAGGATCTCGGATGTATTTGCCGTAGATCACAGCATTCTTAAGATAAGCCTGGGGAATTGCTCCTAGCGCCGTTCGAGGACATCGGAATCATCCACGGGGTACCAAAGATCGGACTCACAGTCCTCTTCCTGAATGTCGCTGCCAACAGTGATTTCTCCACTGCCACAGTTGCTGTTGGCGATTTTGGACCTCAGAATCTTGGTGTTGTTATTGTTGATCTCGTCGAGCCAGAAGCCAGGTTCGTGAAAGAAGAGTTCAGGGCCACGGACTTTGGAGTGGACACCTAGATACTTCGTAAGGTTGTTCCGAAAGATTGGGGAATGCGCGGTCCGGCGGAGGTCCTCCTCTTCAGCCCAAAGCACCATCTCTAGATGGGTTGAGGTTTCCGTGAGGGCAAGAATTCCAGCCATACTGCGGCTGTAGTCTGATATTGCGGTCAATTTGGATTAAGCGCAAAGGCATCAATTCGCCGCTGCTCCCCCGAGTGTTTCATTGTCCGAGAGGTCCGAGTAATCTTGTTAAACTCCGTCGTGCTGTGGATAGAGTATTTCAACTATTGCTCTTCAACGAGCAATCCCTAGTAAGCGCAAGTCGTCAGCTTGTGTTGATCACGTCCCTTCCCTTTGTACGCACCGCCAATTGCTACTACAGACTGAATGGCTCAGTGAGGCGTTGGAACTGGCCGAGAGAAAACGGATGGTATAGGCATGGAGAAGTCGAGACGGAAGTCGGCAAATCCATCACTAGTTGATTGAGCTTGACATCTTGAGCGTGGTTGAACTCGGAAGCCCTTGGCCGATGCTTCTGAGATCTTCCAAACGCGTTGCCTAAGAGGGAGGTAATACTGTAAAGCTTCAAAAGTGTCGGCCTGGCATTGTATCGGTAAAGAGATGCCTTTACCCACAGGGAACTTTTATGTGTGCTCCTGATACGATATCTACATTAGTCAAGTTTGGCCAAGTTAGAAGGGAAGAAGGGAGTAGAGAGATGGGTGAAGTCTGGAAGGGAAGGAGACAGGTTTGTCAATCCCGTGGCAAGTGCCGGCAGCTGTCATGCACGACTCAAACCAAGCACTGATATCTCGGTCGGGCGCCTTCTCAAGTGCTTATATTCCATTTGTCCCTGGTGAACTCTCACTTACCACATCTTTCGCGACGTATCTCTGCCCTCAAGACTCTAGATTAGGAGAATAAAATAATTAAATAGAGTAATCATAAACTGACCTAAGTTTATCCTAAACTTAATAAGGGTTATCCTAAATTTACTGAAGTTATCCTAAACTTACCTAATTCGTTCTATCACTTAGGGATCAAGGTCTTTAGCTTCCTAGCCTTACCTCGTCTGCTTCTGTGCTTTGGATCTTCTGCCGGTTTGTCTTCGTTTAGTCAATTCATCAGTCAGACCCTACTTCTCCAATATTATTCTTCATTTGCTATCGCAAATCAAAATCCGTGATTGTAATACCGACCTCAAGCTTTGCAAGGAGAATCGTACAGCAATCCGATTATGGGATCGCATGAGAAACATTCAAGCGGAATGCTCCACAACAGGCTATGGGTCATCTTGTAAGCAGCTTCATCTCCCTGTAGAAGCGTAGAGTGCTACTGTCCTGTCACTGCGATGCCTCACGGCAAAGTACCTTTTGAGCGGAACTCGTTGAAGGCTCCGTGGTTTCTCTGCCGTAGATTAGTTTGAGCTGGAGGTGCTTATTATGGAACCAAAGGTGCGTCTTGGACGGATGTAAGAGTCGTAATTCTGATATTTGTGAGCGAGGCAACTCGCTCAACAACCCATGATACTACCTGCCTATCTATTGACAACTTGTTCTCTTTAGGCGGACGTGCATGAGCATTGCATTGCATTCCACATCACTGCTTCCTTGAAAGCCGTTGACGGTCGTTTGCACTATATGCCACCGCTTTCCCACGCTCGTCCCACCCTTCAGGTGCTATCGTGCACCTCAAGCTCACACGTATTTCCCTCAATCTGTTGATGGGGTGGTGTATCTCGAGCTAGTAAATATACTATCTGTGGGAATTTCCTGTTCCAGAATAAAAAGCATCTCAGTGCCCGGAGAAGCCATGATCGCCTCAAGATGGGGGAAACCCTCCCGCGTGGTAGGTAGCCTTCAACTAGAGCTCAGCGGGTTTGTCCTTTCTGCCGATTTCAATGACCATGGGCGAGGATATATCAAATCGCAGCGTTTCGCGGAATGGACACGGGTAGCCCAAAATTATATATTCTCCCTTTTGATAATACAAAACGAGGTTCCAGGGTATGTTGCGAAGAGGGATACCTTGAGCCTAAGCCTCTGCCCTGATCTTAATCACTCCATCTTCAACTCTGCAAATTGTACTCCAGAGTCACGACAATGTGATTCTTCTGTTGTTGTGGCCAAGAAGTAGGAGTCGTTCTTCAGCAGTTAGGATCTCTGCTGTCTCTCTTGTTTCAGAGTCCGTTCAACTGACCAGCCGTCCGCTTGAACTCAAACCCAATCTGATTCATGGCTGGATGATCCGGTAAATTGTACCATACCTGGAAGGTGACGGCGAGGATACATTTGTCTGTTCTCTTGTACAGCTCGTCGACTCGGACACGGCCTTCAGTCAATGGATGTCTCTGGGCCCATGACTGAATGGCGTGTAATGCTTGCCACCCACCATTGGCGATTTGAACTGACAGAACGACATCAGCTGCCTGGTCGCCCAAAGTTTGGCAAGGGGCTGGAGTCAGGTCTAAGTTGCTTTTCTGCCGCATGGGTTGCAATAGCAGAGATGGTCCGTGATCTCGAGGGTGTCGAATGTAATGGGGCAGAGAATCCAGCTCCGTTTCCCAAGATTCTTTCATGGTGAAACTCTTTGTTGCCAAGCGGCTGTATAGCTGCGACGTGGATAAGACATGTCCACATTCATGAGCGTGCTTCAGTTCTCGAACAAGATTTCTACTGAAGCCGCGCTCGCAACCGAGACCATCATCGCACACGCTTTCTCCCGAAGCGTAGGCGTAGATCAATTCTTTGTGATGGCCTATGTAACCGTCAATCTCAATAGGAAAGCAGCACTCAAAAAGAATCAAGACATTGGCGTCCCAAGGATCTATCTTGTTATCTCTTAATGAGGGGAAGACGAACTTTTGGCCTCCCCCCCCCGTGACCAATGTAGTGCAGGATAGCTATACAATCTTCGTCCATTCCGTTGAATAGACCTCCGAGAGCTGATGTCAATGTTGCTTGGGGGTTTTTGTCTTGTTTCCGGATCACGAGACCGACAGTATCGTAACCATAAGTGTTTTCGAAGACATCGCGGACTTGCTCGCTGGTGCTTTCAACATTGGGGTGACTGTCCTTGTCCAGCTCGAAACATACACATAGCGCCCGGACTTTTCTGGGTTTGATCTCTGTAACTTCTTCTTGACTGTACAAGAAACAGGCTTTGATGATCGCGGCGCTGAACTCCTCCGAAGTCATCGGCCTCGAGGGCATCGACTCGATGCCTGGAACGGCCATGGCTTGGCTGATTGATGCAAATATTGATGGAAGAAAGAAGTACTAAGTGAGAAAGAGGGGAAGGGAAGACTCTGATGCAAGATCTTTTCTCACTTTGAGTTCTTGTTTGCCTTTGACCCCCTCGATTTAAAGAAAAACATATTTGCGATTCATGCCTCGCTACTTGCTCAATCGCGCGGAGGTGTTGGATAAGGTTATCAATATCGAATGAGTCTGTGCGGCAAGGTTCTTAAGATAACCAAAAAGACCGAGTAGAAGAGTTTCTGGGCTCCTCTACCCTGGGCAGAGAAATAAGAAGTTATTCCAACAGATACCCTGAAAGAATTGTTCAATAAGGGTCAATGTATGATGGATCTTCCTTGTCTTTCTAGAAGCTGCAGCAAAGCCGATAAACATGTAATCGCAGCTTATCGCGGGGGGCAGGGGGCAGTGACCAAAGCGAACCTACTTGAGCTGAGCGTGAGGCGCATCTCAGGTAAGTTTGATAGTGGATGCCAGAAAGGGCCAACATAAACCCTGCCTTGAGATGAGTATACAAAAAGGCTTCAGGATAGCTGAACATCAGTCCAGCTTGAAGCCCAAGGAAATTTATACACGATAGCGGTCCTCAAGAAGAGAGAGGGTCAAATATGATGCGCAGCATATCAAATTGCTTAAAAGTAAAACTAAAACATCATCTTCTTCGGTATATATATTATCATTTGTGGCTTAGCGCGTTATCTGTATATGTAGTCAAATAAAGATCCCTTTATCTTTATATCTTTGCCTTTGGGCTGGGTTTGGCCCGTCGAGCAGGCTTGCCTATGTGCTTTTGAAACTCTTCCGAAACGGTCGTCTTCTCTTCCTTAGACTTCTTTGCCCACTCTTCAAATTGGCGCTCATCTGCCCACCACCTCTCGAGTTCGGCCTTGATCCAGTCGGCTGCGGCACTTGCACACAAGCGTGGATCTTCCATGGGAACCAAATGGCCATTCTTCTCTCCGACAACCTTCTTGACACGACCCTTGGCCTCGCCACCGCTGCCACCAACACCGGTTCCTGTGAGAGCCATCTTCTCGTCTTGAAGTTCTGGTGGAGAAACGTCACTTTTGCCACCGAAAACATAGAGGACGCTAGGCCGTACGTTGGGAAGCCGTTCAACGGTATTAGGCCCCTCGGGACGGTAGACGGGATATGTTGACCATCGACGGTTGAGGCTGGCATCAAGGTCGGGGGTGTACTCAGGGCGGATCACATCCTTTCCTTCAGTGTCGTAGGCCGGCCAACTTGGGCGTAGGAAAGTGAAGATCTCTTGATGTTTTGTCGTGGTCAAGGTTACGCTCTGTTCACCAGGTACGTCCCTGATACCAAAGTCGATCCATCGCTGCAGTACACGAGGATCCCAGGACCTGTAGAAAGGGCTGCGGCTAAAAGATGCCACTGCTTCGTCGCGCGATGGCCAGACTTCACGACGATACATACTCGCTGCCGCAGGGCCGGCGCTTCTAGCGCCAGGCGTGGAGGCGAAGTGAGAGATGACTGGATCGAGCAGAACAAGGGATGTAAAGACGCGAGGATGAAGAAGGGCAACATTGGTGAGAGCGTTTGCGCCAAAGGAGTGACCCATTGCCATTATCGGTGGTGGAGGACGGAATGTGTTTATCATGTGGAGAATATCACGGGCATAGTCGAGCCAGCTTGCTGGGAAGTTGTTAGTATTGCCAGGTGGTATGGGAGGGGGTGAATCTTACGATCATTGCCCAGTGCGTCTTGGTTTATGAGACCGCTTTTGCCTTGCCATGCTGTATCTGCTATCCAGATACTTCGAATTCGGATACCTCGGCGTTTTGATTCATGATAGAACTCTTCCCACAGGGGTTCGTAAAGTTCCTATATATATCAGTAAATGTATTTATATGGGCACCGAAATAAACTTACCTTGGGAAATCCATTGGCATGTCCTCCGATGACAGTCACGTCGCCTTTTTGAGGGTTCTGGTTATCTTTGGGTGTATATTGCTTGACGTGAAGGTATAGCTTCTCTTCTTGAGAATGAGCTGTAGCGCGGGCGTATTCTCGAATATGTGATGCTTCAATTGTATGCTCTTGAATGGTGAACGGAAAGGACGACATTGTGGCAAGTCTATTGCGCCTCAGTTACAGACAATAAGACGCTCCGGCAGGTAAGAAACAGTTTTGTTGGAACTGGAAATGAAGAGCTGAAGTTATATACAGTTGCACGAAACGAGGTTGAGTAACGAGCCGGCCTCGGTAACGCCTGTAGGGCGCACGGGAGTTGTGGGGGTGGGGGATACCTCGGTACCTGCGGCCGGGAAGTGGTCGCCGCCGATCTCTCGTTAGCATCACCCGCCAACACCAAAAACATCATCGTGAATCTTTGCTTATCTCATCAAGATCTCACACAGCTGCTACCCTTGGTCAGCACAGTCTCTCGGTAATATCATGAGAAGCTTCAAATAGTATTCCAATCCAGCTGCAGGCGGTCGGTACCATGGCACCACGACTACTCCTTTTTGCTGGCGCACCGCCCCCTTCGTCTCTTACAACACAATCATGTACAATAACACAACTCGACGACTCTTTCGCTGAGTTCCTCGGGCTGGCCCCTCAAGAAACAGCTCCAGTATCGTCTCCAAATCTCGCACCATGGCGTTCTCTTCCCCTGAACAGAAAACCGCTTCACACAGGATTCAGCCAGACCCATAATATCAGTATCAACCTCGCCAACCAATCCGAATTTTTCACCACGGCTGAGATCTCGTTTAAGGAACAATCTCAGTCTTTTGAGGGCGAAGATCCGGAGAATGTGTTGTCGCAGTTCTATGACCATTCCCTAGCTTTACACAATTCGATTCCATCATCACAGCTCGATAGTTTCGAGGAGACAACATTTGAGGAGACATCGTTTATGACGACGTCTCCGACAAGAAAGTTGGATATGGCAGAGACTGTTCCTTCTCATCTCTCTGATTTGGAAGATATACCGCCGGCTCGGAGGATTCTGGCTCTCAATCCCCAGACTGTCACCCTCAACATTATTGCCGGCATTATATCCATCGCACAGCCACGAACTGTCACAACGCGCTGGGGTCGCAGCCTCTCTTTAGTGGAGATCCTCCTCGGGGACGATACAAAGACAGGCTTCGCTGTGACGTTTTGGCTTGCGGAGGAGAACGATGCAGCTGCCGAGATTAGTGCTCTTCGGCGTCAGGATGTAGTTCTTATGCAGAACGTGGCACTTCACGTGTTCAAGGACAAAGTCTATGGTCAGAGTCTCCGTAGGGGCATGACCAAGGTGAGTCTGTTATGGAGAAGGGATGGGTCCGGGCTTTATTCGACGCGTGAGCTTTCCAAGCGCGGTCAGATGCACCCGCAGTTACAAAAGGCGAAGCAAGTAAAAGATTGGGTGCTCAAATTCGTAGGAGCTGATGTTGGAGTAAAGACAAGAGCTAGGAAAGCACGGGTTTCATGGGACAGACCACCAGATGACACACAATGAGGAGTCTTCGTATTGTAAGACCACTTTTATTAACCTTTCTATGATATTAGACACTTATTACTACCAGCGCCAAATGCAACCGAGAGAAGAGAGACATCCGAGGGTATCTATGCAAAATTCCAATCGTCAAACTACGCTTCGATCCCACGATCCATCTAGACAGGCACAGCAGGCTCGGGCTTTCTGTCCTCACCGTCGGGACCCTTCTTGACAGACTTCCATTGGAAGCACAGACAAGTAATCAGGGCACAGGCAGCACAAGCAAGAGAGATGTAAAAGGTGTCCCGAAGGCCCTTCATGTACGCATTGAGAACAGTGTCGAGCGCGTCGAGGCGGCCCATCTTTCTCAGAGTATCCTCAATCTCTGAAGCTCCAGTGTTGATGAAGATGGTCGGGTCGATGCCAATGTTATCAGCCTTGAGTGTGTCAATGAGGCCATTTTGGAAGACAGTTTGGGACACAGCCACGAAGATGGCGCCTCCGAAGGCTTGGCCGAACTGGACAACAGCGGTGCCAACAGGAACCCATTCCTGAGGCAAGACAGTTTGGATGATAAGGACACCAATCTGGAAACCTGCACCAATACCCAAGCCGGCGATGACTTGGTAGCCAAACCACTCCCCGAGAGGGGAATGAACGTCGAGGGTTGTGAGCATGCCGCATCCGATAGTGTAGAGAACCATGCAGGGGATGATGACATAGTTGTAGTAGCCAATGGCGGTGATGATACCTCCAGAGACGATGGAGCAGAGGACGGTAGCGAGCAGGAGAGGGAGGATCTTGATTCCAGCCTGGACGGCGCTAACACCCTGGATGGCCTGGAAGTAAAGAGCTGAGAAATGTTAGTTGGGTGGATGGCGAAGGGCGGTGTGGGACTTACAGAGATAGTAGATGAGAGGGAAGAAACCGGCACCAAAGAACATGGCAAAAATGATGGCGGACAAGGTGTTTCGGTTCTTGAACAGACGAGGGGGGAGAGTTCCCTGATCACCCTTCCAGAATTGGATGCCGATGAAGATGGCAATCATAGCTCCAAAGCCACAGAAGAGACCGATGATACGCGAGTTGTTCCAGGGATATTCGGCACCACCCCATTGCAAAGCGAGGAGCAAGCAGACGATGGCAGGGATGAAGATGGCGGCGCCAGCAAGGTCGAGTTTGCGAATGCGATCCATGAAGGTCATGTTGATAGTGTCCGAGTCGTTGCGGTTAACATGGACGAAGAAGAAGACGATGATCATGGCGAGGCCACCGATGGGGAGGTTGATGTAGAAACACCAACGCCAGGTTGCGTGCTCGGTAAATGCACCTCCAAGAAGGGGACCGGCGACAGAAGCGATACCCCACATGCCACCAACGAGACCAAAGGCAAGAGGACGCTTCTCAAGAGGCACTGGAGTTGTGGTTAGTTATGGTCGCTGAGCTAGTTTATTGGGCCTCACGTACTGATTAGGGAGAGAATAACGATAGATCCAGAAAAGAGACCAGCCGTTCCAATCTAAGAGCTCTGTTAGCAAAGATCATGGGAATTGTCTAGGCAACTTACTCCTGCAATGGCTCGGCCGACGATGAACGCGACAGAAGTCGGCGCAACAGCAGAGATCAAACTTCCAATCTCAAAGATGAAGACGGCAGTGAGATAGGCAATCTTGACATTGAAGTACTTGTAGATAGTTCCGTACATGGGCTGCAAAGCCGTGGTGGTAAGAAGGTATGAAGATCCATACCATCCAATATCCTTGACACTCTGGAACTGCGCTGTGATGGCGCCGAGTGCAGGAGCGATGATGGTCTGGTCAAGAGCAACGAGAAAGATGGCGAGACAGAGAGACGAGATGATGAGGGTAAGCTTTGCAGCGCTAGGGTATTGAGGCTGCTCGTCAGCGGCATTGCTGTTGCTGGCGGTTACAGAGCCAGCCTGCTGCTCCTTGTTGTCGGCTGAAGTGTCGAGGATGTTGTTGGATCCAACTTCGGTCTTCTCATCAGAGGAGAGACGAGTCTCTTCGACCATTGCGTTGGTTGGCGCCGTGGCGGGTGTAGTCGTAGCCATGGTGATGTTCCAGGATTATTGTGTTGTAGGGAGAGAAGAAAGAGAAGAACTGGAATATTTAATGTAGGAAGAATTAACAGTAGCGTAAGGTAGGTTGTTATGGTGGAGAGTGCAAACGGCCCCCAGGCAACCAAGCGTGATTGTTTCAGGAAGGGAGAGAGAATAATGCAGCCTTCCAGTATCTGTTTGCTTCTTCCGTCGTTTGCAAGCAAAGGGTGAGGATAGCTCGTGGAAGAGCAAAAGGTTTTGGAGATGGGTGAGCGAAAGATAATAAATAATTAGCTACATACGTCAGTATCAGTCACTGGCACTGTTCATAGGTCCCCTTCCCATGTGATGGATGGACGCGAAAATCAAGCACTTGACACTTATCCCCTAGTCTCATTCTCGTGGAAAACCCCAAAACATCGAAATATCCGAGTACCGCTAATAGTATTGGATGTGATTACGATAACGAAATAAACGTCGTGGAGACGCGGCAAGGTATTCGTCCGTGTACCGGCCGGCGACAGTTGCAGCCAGTCAGCAGCCCAAGACATACACGATCAGCGCTTTTGTCCCTTGTTCTCCAGTATAATCGGGCTGATTTTGGTTGCGAGTTTGATACGATAGGCGAGCTGAACTGTCATGCACTCGTGTGGGTCGGACAAATCACCAAGGCCGATGTCCGAAGGGTGGCTTATTGGAAGAGTCATTGATTTAGATCCGTCTGTAAATTTGTGACGGCCCTCACGTTTGACTCCCTTGTATCACATGGACTGTTGCTGCATGGTGATATCGATGTCCGTTATGGACACTCCAACTCTTGATCATGACAGATACCTACCTACTAACTCATTCACACTGATGAAAGCTCTCTTCTCGTAAACGTCTACGAAAAATCATTTTTAATGACTTCTCCACAAGGCACACGCTAAAAAACAAGCCCGATCTTTGACTCCCGGTCCAGTGGCATAGATCCCGTGCCAAGGGCTGATCTCCCATTCTCAACGTGGTCTCGACCGCTCTCTTCTGCCCCAAGATTGGCTCGCTCGCTCAAATTTCCTCTCGTAAAAAGCTGCCCCGTTTCATCTTGTCAGATCCACTTTAGGAGTACCTACCGTGCATTTTCGGATACAACTGAATTCTCCGTATCTATCTCCGGGTGCCTTCGGATCATAACAATCTCTCGCGGACATACACGCTCTTGGCTCGAGGCCGACGACCGAATGGACGGACGAGAAAGAATCTGCTTATGGTTTGACTTTGACTCCATCCTTCACACACGTTTTACACGTTACATGTTAGACTGGTAACGCCCTTGCATTGTATTGCCAGCCGTGAAACCTTGTCATTTCCTTATACGGAGTCAGGGCCTATACACAGCGTCTTGTCATACAGCCTTCTTCCTGTCGTGAACAGTGATAAATCCCTACACATGCATTTTGTGAACAAGCTGACATCAATAATCGTAATTTACGTGATGACCTCATTTATAACACCCGCCATCTATCTGACCCTCTAACTAATGCTTACATTGCTGGCTTGATATGCGTAAATTTATATATAAAAGCTTATGCTCACTCTTCTTCTTCGCTCGTGTCCTCTCCGGGAACCCAGACCAAAAGTCCTTCCTCGTCGATCTTCATCCCTTCTGTCGGTATTATGCGTAGCACTTTTTGGAAATACTTGTCTCGTACCGTTAATTTCGGCCTTATCCATACTCCGTTGACGTGCGGTAACAACCGATAGGTCGTTGTCCGCCTCGACTGCGGTAACAGGTTCAGTGTTGTCTGCTTTGAACCAGAAAATGCAAAGTCCTCACTCGGTTCCATGCTGAGACCAAAGGTAAGGAAGTGGTTGGATGGATTCTCGACTGTCATGTCCAGTTGCATCAGCCCCGGCATGCCATCTTCTGTTTTAGTGGCGTGATACACCGATGCCAGCACTCGCGGCTCTGTGCCCAAAACCAGATATTTACCAACGGGCATGGTTGTTGTGTTGACGGCTCCGTCGCTGCGGTTCTGACGTTGCCATCGAATGACAAATGCCAATTCGAGTGTGACAGGGTGTCGATCTTCCATCGTGAGCTTCTGGGCTATCAGATCGAATTGTGCCTCGTGCATCGTCTTGGGGGCAACAATGACCCCTTCCTGTGACACATTCGGTCCCTGGCTCACGTTGCATCTTGCACCACCAACGCATGAGACCACATTGAGATCCATCCCAAGGACCTTCAAATCTTCTTGGGCAAATGAGGCATAGTGGCACAGTAGGCACCACTTCTGCGTGAAGCCTCGGGCAACACCCTCTTCCGTATCTCCCAGTCCCTCAGAGTCAAATAGACTCGGCCATGGTCCAGGGTGAAGTCGTGGGACCAAATCGTAATTTGCCTCAAATGCATTCACAACGTTGAGCTGAACTGTCAATAATTGCATAATCGGCGTTGCAACGTCTGAGTCTAAGTGGTACGACGTCTTCAAGTGCAAATCGAATGTCGTGGGGCCCGGTGCTGCATCTATATGAAGCATCATCTTGACTGATGCTGTGCTCTTTATGGCACCCAAAGGAAGTCCCAAGATTTTGGCCTCCTCTGTGGTTGCTTCGGCGCTGCCCTCATTACCTTCCGTCACCACTCGGATTGCCGGTATTTCTTTTCCAAAGAGGTGAATATCCAGTTTAGCAGTAGCGGATTCTTCCTCGGCATTGATCAATTCGACCTCCAACTCGATGGCCTCGTTTGCGTAGTACTGAGCTGAGGGTTCCAAGAGTTTGATCTCCATCTTTGGCGGTCGAGGCTGAATACGGATGGTGCCTGCTTCTGGGCGGCTACTTCTGGGTTTTGATGAGCCCTGGATGTACCAGCCAACAATGGGATCGTTGTCGCGAATTCCAAGTTTAGCGTCAAGATTGAAGCTCGCATTGCTGTGTGAGAGTGTGACGGATGAGGCCGTAGCAGTTCCTGGCTCCCTCAAAGGAATTTTCATTTCGAAAACTCGTGTTTGACCAGGCCGGAGTGTCAAGTTAGAAGTTCCTTTGAGCAGTGTCGGCAGTTCATCCTCAGACCCTTCAGCATAGTCTTCCTTCAGTGATAACGACAAAATGGAGATCTTTGAGGTCGATGGCGAGTCCTCGTCCTCCGAAGCCCCTTGCTCCAGTAATATTGGTCTGAGGCTCCCATTGAACTCGACCTTCAAGGACTCGAATGTGATCGGAACAGCATCGAGAAACGTGTGCGAGGTGAGCGCAAGCTGAGCGGTACATGTCTCGCCAGCCTTGCCCTCTTTATTTCGAAACACGAAAGACGCTGAAATGAACGAGCCGGTCTTTTCGTCGCTTAGACTAACTGAGGGCTTCTCCTCTGTTGTAATTCCTTCGAGTGATCTGGTAATGTCGTAATGCCACTGTGGCTGCCGCACGAACCCTGGTCATGGTTAGATATATTACACTCGAAATTATGAATCGAAATACTCACTGTTACTCATGAGCTCCCAGTCCGCAGCAACCACTAGGTCTGCACGGCGAGCTCCCAGGGCGATTCTTCGCAAAGTTAAACACAGGTCCTCTGATATATTGAGCCAACCCTCCGATCTGAACGCCACATCCTCCCAGAATGGTAGCAGGGCTTCCACAGCATCATCCCATTGTTTCAAATTGGCGAACTCCCTTGCGCACTCTAACGATATCTCACCCGCTACGCGCTTTTGCTTTCGAGCTCGAAATTGTGAGGTCGCCGCTTTGAGACAATCAATGACCAATTGCGCATGGTTTACTCCTTTGCCCGATATTGGGTATTCTTGGTACGGCTCTGGGCACATGTACGTATCGTATGCGAAGGCCTTGCTGGCTACCGCTGATGCAGGAGTTGTATCTGGCGAATTCCTATCCTCCTCGGGCATCTGATACGCAAGCTTCCGGCGAGCCACAAGATGCCGTGCCGCTATGCGATACCAGTAGCCTGTATGGTGCAGCAACTCCCATGGTGACACTCGCTCGCCTAGGACAGACTTATCCGGCGGGACAAACAGAGCTCCCGTTGCTGGCGCCAAAGCTGGCAAGCCTACTCTTTCAATCAAATTTGCCATGACTGTAGCCCACCGAGCTTCCCAGGCCTGCCATCCATAGTTGTTGGTCCCTCGTCCGCGTCGATCAACAAAGTCAGCAATCCGTTCTCGATGCGAATGCCACATTCTGACAGCCAGCGTGGTTTGGCCCAGCCACAAGTGACATCTTAAGCACCGGATAGCTATGACATCCGCCAAGAGTCGCGCCTCATTCCAGCGAGGGCTCCAACTGGGGATTATGTCCAGCACATCCTGTCCAAGAAGTACCTCGTATGCTTGTTTGAAAAACTGCAGCGCCGCATCTGTCTCTTGTCGGAATTCTGCAAATATAGCTGACTTAAAATCGTATCTGAAATTCCAGTCTGGGAGTGAGAGGGTCTGGGATGTCCCGGTCGTAGGTGGCACGGTCGGTTGAGGTGCTATTCCACGCGATCGCTTCTTCCTGGCATGTCGTCCAAGATCCCGGTAGTATTCCACAGCTGAAGTGTAAAGCACGCCCAGGACATTATCAACAACCTGTTTTAAATCGTCCTGCGACTCCTGTGATGGGATGTAAAAGACCGACTTTGGGTCCAACGCTGTCCCTCTCCGTATGTTCTCCAGTCTCTCTTGAATCCCTTCGGCCAACGACAGAGGAGCGCCTTCGCCGTCCGCAAGCAGAACAATAGCTAGCCGTGTCTTGTATCCTGAGCGTAATAAAGCACTCTTGAGGTTGTTGATATCGGACTTGATATGGTTGTCTTGAAGCGTCATGGAATTCGGGTCGTTCGTGAGGGGGTAGAAGCACAGGTACACGCTAGGAACGAGGTCCTGATGCTTCTTAATCCATTGCGCATCAATATGACCATCCGGATATAGTGCCGATGCTGGACTGAGCGGGGAGAACGGCGAGTGTAGAGTCGGGTGTTCGCTGAGCGGTTCGATGCCTTCTGGGAGACGAGCTCGACGAGGTGGTAATAGAAACGACTGTCCCGCATGTTAGAACAAGGCTTTGTGTAGCACCCCGCGCAAACCTACTCTTCCTGTAGTCTTAATGCGAAATCTATATGGCTCATTCCTCTCAAAGGCACTCCACGACTTTGCGCTCGCATCAACATCCTTGAAGTATTCCGCCAAAACCTCTGCTTCTTCGCCCCCGATAGGTGGTAACTCTGATCGGAGAAGGATGCTCTGTTCCTTTAGCTCTGCGCTCAATGGGAGCTCGTTCGTCTCGGAGTTAAGGCCGGCGGCCACTAGAAGGGGGACATTGTGGTCCAAACTTCCCGTCGGATACCCATCCATGGTGGATATTTTGAGATGTCGAAGGCATGGGTTCGCGACGGCGAAGGTAAATTGAGCTTAGAGCTGATGTCGCCAGACGACGTTAGCCATCCTTGTCCATCGCAAATGCCCCTCGTTAGTGTAGCAGCCCACTTACATGGCTCAAAGGCATGGAACAAGAAACCGCCCAGTGATAATATGCTGCTTGTTGAACGCAGAAGAAATAGGACCAATGTTTTCAGACTTCTCAAGCACCTTTTGAATCAAATCGACATCATCATTTACCTAAAGACTGTCCCAGCAGTGATCATATGAACGGTTGGCCGTTAACGGCACCCCTGCAACCCATCGGCAGCTCCTCCGGAACCGGAACAACGCCAACCGCCGAATCTCCAAAACTTCAAGATTCAACCTTGCGAATGCGACGCCAGCACCAGTTGACCTCGGAAATCCCCCATACGCACCGCCTCCGACCGACGAATTGTCCAACGACGAATCCGATCGTTTTTGTCTCTAATTTCTCGCCATGAGACCTACACAAGCCCTGTCGGTCGGCCGATACCGCCACCTCAGACTCACAACCAAGGATGTTGGAAAAGGCTTCTACAAGGGTAACCGTACTGGTTCCATGGGTCGACACACAAAGTATGGAGGCTACGTTATCGAGTGGAACAAGGTCCGAACATATGCTGTGCCACCGCTGAAGGATTTCAAGGTGAGAATGGAAGCATGTTGGTGATTCGGACGGAAGACTAATCGTGGTGGAATAGCTTACACCCTTCGTGAGCCGACAAGTCAAGGCGGAGCCTGGTGACTATAAGGGTCTCGATAAGGGTCCTCAAGATCCTTACTTCTACGTTGAGCAATGGAAACGATTCAACGGTGTGGATTAAACAAGCGAAAAATGGCGGTCATAGAATTGGATGATTTCGACAGAAGGCGAATCTAGAATGCCAGCTGGAGACTTGGGAATCTCTGGCAAGGCTGTATATACCCGTGTACATTGTACCACCATGTATGATTATGGACTCATTCGATCAATAACGAACAAAAAAGACTTGAACAATCCTATTCTTTGTGGAATGATGACTATGGATATTGATTACAAAGGAAACAAAACGATGACAATGATTGTGCTTTGACACGGGATATCCTAATTGAACAAAACTGAACAATTGACTGTATCCAACCTTGCGCCAAAAAGAACTCCTTTTTATGAATCCTCCTCTTTCTTGGCTCGGGGCAGCTCCTCTTGAGCCGTGACAAATGTGTCTAAACCAGGTCGCTCCAAAGGCGTGGCAACCAAGCCTGGTTCGTCATTTATGCGGTTCTTCTCTTTTCCAACCCCGTTCTCTTCGTTCTTCTCAACTGGTTCTGAAACCTGAATATTTGGGCTCATCGGCCTCGAGGTGGGCATGGCGGTAACATTCGACTGTAAGGTCTTCATACTGGCAGTGTCTGCCTCCCTTTTAAGGCTGAATGGAACTGCTGTGCCGTCTAGGAACGGTCGCTTGCCTGCAATCTCAATAGTTGGTGCATCTTGAGAAGTAAGTTGAGTTGACTGAGAAGGCTGAGTTGAATCATCATCCTGAAAGCTTGGACTCATAGGTCGTGAGCCTGGAAGTTGCGTGACGTTGGACTGAAGCGTCATCATACTAGCCGTCTCGGCATCCTTATTAAGACTGAACGGCAGTGCGATGCCATCGAGAAACGGTCTCTTACCAGCTACACCAGTCTCCGGCGCATAGTCGGGGCTGAGTAGACTGGGCTTCGCAGCTTCTTGCTCCTTTCGCTGCTCTATGAGATGAGCAACTGGCATATCCTCGGTGATGGGCTGGCTACCCGTCTGGTTCTCGTCGGTGACTACCTTGGTGTGAGATCGGCTTCGTGCTCGGTTCGGTTGTGACCGTGATCTATCCTGTCCTTCAATATCAGCAAAGGAGCGAGCTCCTTCGCCCTCAGCACCAGTGGCAACTCTTGTCTCTGGCTGTCCAGCTGCCTTCTTCTCTCGTTCGACTGTCATTTCGTCGTGTTTAGATCCCCAGAGTGACCACATTGCCAGACCCCAGCTCTTCTGTTGTTTCTTGCTTCCTTCTACCAGCTTTGAATCAACGCGCCGTCGGCCTGCCAATGCAGTCGGGGGAGGGCATTCGCCAGGACCATAATCATGGTAGCCGATGGCCATATCGCTCACCATCTTTTTATGGACCTTGGCCTTGTTTGATGCATATCTATGATCCCACTCTGCCTTCTTGGCCAGCCATTTCTTAACTGTTCCCTCCTTTACAACTCCAACCAAAGCAGGTTCCATACAACATGATGGCAACTCAGCCTCAGGAGCCAACGGGAGAGTAGCACCATGACGAGTAACTCTTTGTCGAATCATGTGGTTCTTGAACGGTGGGAGAGGGTCGCCAGCCTTTCCAACCTGGCCAGGCTCCGAGTGAAAGTCTGAGTTTTCTGTTTCTGGGGTTTTAGGAGGTTTTTTTTTGGATTCGCTATCGGATCCAGATTCAGAGATGACGGATATATCGTCGTCGTCAAGAATTTCGATGCCACGTTTCTGAGCCCGAGCGAGAGCCCATGCACCGAATTGGGCAACAGACCTGTACATGTATTTCGCGGGACGAGTGAAACTCAGTGTCGGTGCCACATGACAAAGGTCATCCCAAACTTGGAGTTGGACATCGGTGGGCTTGTACTTTTGCAACAAAGCTCTTCCTTCTGGGGTGAGAGCTTCTTCCGGAGGCGCATACTTTTCAGGGTTGGCACATTTGTGAGCTAGGTATATCTGCTCATCTCGTAAAATTTCCCCTCCTCCTACCATGATCAGGAGTGGAGGGAGTCCTCCTAGTGTAGGTTGCATGACTGGGCTGACAAGAGGATGTGCAAGAAGCTCGTTGGTGGTATACATCTGAGGTTGTCAGTTTCTGGTCAAACTCATCTTTTACGAAACCTACCTGAATCTGATCTTTTAGTTTGACGAGTTGGCCGTCAATGGTGACAGAGAGGAGCTTTTCGGGGTTGATGGGAATTCCGCCATTGATCCACTCCGATCTTGATGAAGCATCTGACGGTTCTTTCTTCGCAACTGGCGCTTGCTGCTTCTCCTGAAGTTCATGCTTGCCAGGTGTCTTCTTCCCCTCGTTCTTTTTTTTCAATGCCTCTTCTCTCAACATCACAACATCGTCCTCGTTCGGCGGTGGCCATGCTTTAGAAGGCTTGTGGTGAAAACCTGCCTGTGGTATATAATCAAAAGGGGCCTCGCCCGCAACGCTGGGGAACGAGTGTGTCAGGTCAACCCATGGGCTGATGAGGATAGCACCAGCAGGCAACGGGAGCCCTTGATCGCGTAGAACACACAAAAGAGACATGACCATTCCACCGCCCGCAGAGTCTCCAGCCAAGACAATTGTCGTTGGATCTTGAACAGTAAGCAGATAGAGGTAAGCTGCAAGACAGTCGTGAAGGCCACAAGGGAAGGGAAACTGCGGCGAAAGGCGATATCGAGGCGCAAAAACGCGTGCTTTGAGCTTTCGAGCATGTCTCTGCATTTGATATCGATGTTCATCAACACTACCAAAGTAGTATGCGCCTCCATGGATATACATCATGACGCGCCGCGTCTTTCCTCCTTTTTGCTTTCGCTCGTAGGCGTCCGCGCGCATCTCAATCCATTCCGCGTCGAGAGGCGTCGCAGGTTTCCGCCATTGCCACCACTTCTCGCCGCCGACTTGCTTGATACCGTCTGGGCCAAGTTGCTTCTGAAGAAATTCAGCGGCGCGTGTCAATTGATCTTCGGTGATGGTGACATCTTCGACTTTGACCCATTGGGGATGCGGTACCCATTGCGCGGTGAATGCTTGGAGTTCTTCAACAGTGTGGTGTGATGCATATTCGAGGAACGATCGGATCAGATGGAGACCTTCATCGTAGGAGAGATGCGCAGTTGGACGTTGTCGCAAAGGCTTCCTGTTGAAATACTAGAGGTTGGGAGTTAGTTTCTTGCAAAAAAGAAAGTAATCTCAAAGTATCAGAAGAATTGGGCTTCGTCCCCTCTACTGGCTTAGAGGTAGATTACACAAAATGATGAAAGTACGCACATGAGAGAACAAAGTCGAGACGACAGTAGGCGTCACAGCGAATGACACCGAGGTGGTGTTGAGCGAGTTCATGGCTGTCACTCACTCGAATCACCGAGTCCTTGGATACACAACAGACAATCAGTGGCTTGAGGCTATTAAAGACGCGCCATGTGCCATGGCATGGAAGAGTTCAGTTCAATTCAGCTGGGCAACAGGTGCAGCTGAACCCAAAACCTAACCAATTGCTAGTAGGGGTCTCATGATGTCATTCTTTGATGGGACGCAACCAATTCCTACCCCTGACTCCACGAAACCGGGGATGGCTGATGGCTCGACGGACATAACAATTTTAAACCTTTATCCTGACGGGATGAAAATACTTAGACAAGCTTAGGATAACTTGGGATACTCTAGGATGACCTCAAGAAGCCTTTGATCGGTTTATTTTAGTACCTTGATTAGGTATCCTAAGTCTTGTTGCTTCCATTCCTATAGAAACGGGTCGTGTCTGCCTTCTGCATGCAGCGAGTGAGTCGCTGGATGAAACCTGACTTTCATTTAAAGATGGCCTGTGCTTTTGGTTTGTGGGGAGATTTGCAGCCAAGAATCAAGGTCGAGAGACTGAAGAGCTATACGAAGCACAATATAGAGTTGGAAACTTGGTCGAACCAGAAAATATCGGTAATACTAAGACCCTGCCAATTCGTATATTGTATTCATTACATTTCTTGTTAGATAATGCACTTGATGTTATTACCAGGGACAAGACAAAATTAGGTCTCTCCCTGATGATCAAGGGATAGGCAGGATTGAATATGTGGGCCGCTTCTCTGGGTCGCAGGGGTCTAATCGATAAAACACCAAAATTTTTATGCAGAGCCATCTTCTTCAAATTGCCCCTCCAAACCCCGCCAAAGCTATCACCACAATCATGGCCTCTACAGAACCTGCACAGATGCCTCCGGCGGGTGAGTCTAGACCCTGACGCCAAACATTCGACAGAAGCTGATCTAAATCTTCTAGCTGAACGCCAATCCGAGTTCGAGCAAGCCGTCGCATACGCCCTTCACCTATGGCCTGCCCTTACACTCTCAGTCCAGAACGGCTGGGGTGGTCCCGACTCTGCCGACAAGCGCGATTGGTTTGCCGGTGCCGTTGCCGACCTCTTCCCAGAATATACCGATACACCTCCCAAGAATGGAAAGGTTCCCGAGGATCCTGATCTAGAAGAGGTTGAGACTGTCCTGCTCCAGATCATGGTTGACGAGTTCGAGGTCAACGTCGACGACGATTCCGGCACAGAAGTTGCTGGAAACATTCTCCGTGCTCGCGCGAGCTGCACTCTCGGAACCTTTGACGAGGTCAAGGCTCTGCGCACACGCTGGTTGAACCGCAAGGGGACAAAGGTTGAGGGTATCTTCAAGAAGGCTGAGGATGCCGACCAGGACACAGACTGGGAGAGCGATGAAGACGATTCAGAGGATGACGAGGGTGGCGCTGATGTCGAGATGGATGAGGCCCCCCCTCTGGTTGCGGTTCCTAAGGAGAAGCCCCAGCCTCAGGTCGACGAGGATGGCTTCACGATGGTCACCAAGAAGAAGAAATAAACGCAACAAAGACATAAAAACAAAATGGGGGAGCAATGGAACATCAAAAACGAGTTTCTGGCATTGGTACCCACAAGTTACAGGCTCTGGTTCTTTCAACATGCCACAATGGTTTCACTAATTCCGAACGCCAAACTGGACAGCGACAATCCTATCCTCTGAAACATATACTGGGATTTCCAACGTCTATTCCCAGTCCTCATCGCTATCTGAGTCGTCTTCGTCACTATCATCTTCCTCATCACTGCTCTCCTCCTTCTTCTTGGCGTCCTTAGGATCCTTGGGGCTATTGGGAGTCTGTGTTGTCTTGCCAGATGCTGCACCGACAACATCGTAGCTAGCCTCACTATCCGCTTGTGACTTCTCGTCATTTGACTTGCGGGGCTCAGTTGGCTTCAAGAGGGTTTTTGCAGGTTGGGTAGTGGTGACAGTGGTGGCAGTAGTGGCAGTGGTTGAGGGGGTAGCAGGGGTAGTCTTGGGCTCGTCCTTGGGTTCAACCTTGGTCTCAACCTTAGTCTTAGCCGCGGGTGTACTAGTATCATCGGAAGCGTCAGAGTCATCCTCGTCGGAATCATCATCACTCCAAGCAACATCATCCTCAGCGGAGGCAGCTGTCGGTTGTTAGCAAGGCACTGTTGAAAAGCCAATTGACTCACCCTTAAGAAGATCTCGTCGTCTAGCCTCAGCTGTCTCAATACCATGACGAAGAAAATAGTAGCGCTTCCAGAAGTCAACGTAGGGAACCTGGTCAGGAACCAACCTCTCCATAGTAGCTCGCAAGTCGGGGAATTTCTGTAGATCGTCGTTGATTTCAGGTGTTTTCTTATCAGCATCAAAATCTTTTGACCACGCTGCATAATCAGCACTATTGGGATCTTTTGTGAAACTCTCCGTCGATGTATGAATAACGTGTAGTTGAGCATCAAATCTTGATGTATGAATCACACGCTTGCCTTGAGCATCCTTACTCTCGAAGAGAACAGTGCCACTCTGGTCAGATTCCTGTGGAGGTGCAATACTGACGGCATCACGAAGGAAGTTCCGGACATTGCCGCCAAACTTGATAAGGGCCTCATCAGCGGCATCCTCGGCTTTCTGGAGGTCCTTTAACCTCTTGGCAGCTTCAGCTCTGAGCCGAGCCAGGGTGTTCTCGGACTGTTTAGCCTCTGATGAACCATCCTGTGATGCCCTAGGTGTGGTGGCCTGATCATTCTCGCCGTCTCTAGAGCTTTCGCCGCCAGTCACGGTGTTGAGTGAAAGGTTCCTTGTATGGCTTAGAATTGTTGATCTAAGGCCAGTAAGTCCTTTTGATGCATCTTCACCTACTTCCGCCAACTCCTTGGAGGCTTGTGTATATACTGATTCGCCCTAAGCATGTTAGACGGGGGGGGTTCAAGAGCTGAGACCTCATACCTGCTTCACAACATTGCCAAAGAAGCCACCAATCCTGGCACCCCATGGACTGTTGGAAAAGGCCTTATATGCGTCTTGGAGGTCCTCATTCAACGTTGACTGAGGTTGGGGACTCTTTGGCTCCTCCGTCTTCTTAGCGTAGCCATCTTCTGTGATATGATCATAAGCCAGATCCATGGCGGCTCGCTATTGTATCGTTCTTAAGCCGATATGAGTCAAGACTATGATTTAAGGCCCCAGTATGAGGCTTTGTGAGTCTTTTAATCCGTTGATGGTTAATTTATTCGATATATCCTGTCGTCTTGATATCCCTTGGACTTGAGCCTCCTGACCGCACCTGTGGCGGGGTCCAATGGCTGTTGGGCACGGGCCAATGCTCACGTGAGCGTCCTTTGGCCTGGCTCTTAGTTATTCGCTACCCTATAGCTGTTCCTTTTGTTGTCATCCACACAAATTTTTACGTCTTCTTTAAGCTGTTATTGCCTAGTATTTTGTAAGTTTAATTGTTATTTCTCCTGGTATTAATATCGCCGGTTGTGCTTCTTGTATGAGTAAATATGCTTTCTATGATGAGGTTTCTCGTATCTTGCGCCCTCCCTGAGCGATCGCTTGAACCCTTGGACATTAACCTCAACTCAACTCCTCACTTTCGACTCTAACTTTACCGATGAGGAGCTCATCGGCAGCATCAAAACCAAGCTCAATTGCTAATGACGACATATGAAAGCTGACAGTGAAAACGGCTACTTGCCAAGCCTCGTGATCATTGAGTTGTCCTTTCAGACCTTGGCCAAAAACGAGAACAGCTAAATCAGAAAGTTATTTTAAATTCACCTCGAGGAATACCCCGCAAGCAGGAGCGTATGTTTACGTTCAATTACTTGGCAAGTGCTTCTCAGTTGAGCTTAAACTTCCATTTCAGCTCACAACGCACAAATTTAATCGGTCCCTGTCACCCAAACTGTCACTGACGTATCTATTGCGCAAGAAAAGACTGCCGACCTGGGGGAACCCTTGTTTCAGGACCCTCAATCCTCAGAGAGAAGATGGTGTTGATACCCTTAGAAAGTCCTCAAGGATGGACCCTGAATCCGTCATATTCCCGAACTTTATCTTATCAAATTTATCACATTGACACCCGCGGTTATTGATGATATTGTGGCATGTTTATCCTTAGGCAACCGATGGCAATGCCTTGTTTACCAACATTGACGTCGATGTATCTCGATCGTCGGCTTTACACGGGCAGAATTTCCGTCTAAAAAGATCAGTTGACCTCGATCGCGATCTGAGAAAAAGCCTAGAACGAACCACAGCAGACGCCAAAATGCAGCTCGACGTGTTTGGATTGGCTCCAGTAAAAGGGGCATTGGATTGGCTTTGATCTTGTATCCTCACAAGACATGCTTTCGACAAAGTGATGCTGTCATTGTGCATGAAGACATGTGGTTTTCATCCAATCATGTAACCGTCCCTGAGCCAGGGGATCCATACTGGCAATCTTCTAGCTTGGAGCCGCAAGTTGCCTGCAGTGATCATCAAGCTTCCCGTTCCTCGGTCTATTATCATCCAATGATATCGAGGGAATCACAAGTCAGTCAAGACCACTCCCCGGATCGAAACAATAGTGGGCTTTGGGGCGCTGGGCAACATCTTGGCTTTTGGTTCCAAAATGGACTTTCCCATCCTTGCGATGACGTAGTATGCTATGCAACTTCGCAATCCAGACTGCTCCAACACCGCAACTGACGTCACACACGATCGCGATCTGAGAAGCAGATGCAGTGCCCCTCCTCACAAAAGTGAATTTTGCTAGAGAAGCCACAGTGATTCAGTGTGGGTAGCTATCAGGAGCTACCTCCGCAGCTCTCTCCTACCTACTCCTCTTTGCACACGCGTGCCTGCATCTTCAAGGTGAATCACAAGCAAGCAACCTTCTCTCCAAGCACTACTTAAACCCCTTCTCCTCCCACCTCAATCTCGTCTTCCTTCACCATCACACACTCTCATCTTCAATCAACACAAACACTCACAAACAACAACCAACCCAAACCACCAACCACTATCACAATGGAGTCCCTCAAGCAAGCCGGCAACTACGTCGCTGAGACCGTTCAGCAGGCCACCTCTGGTGCTTCCAAGGAGGCCAACAAGGAGGTTGCCAAGGACGGCAACGTCCCCATCTCCACCCGGTAAGCACTTTCCTCCCTATCCAGATTACCCACGAGTCCCTCACGGCCTCAACACCACGAACACATCTTGAGCCTCACTCAGGCCCACTCAACACGGCTTCGCCTGATGGTAACAACATCTTGCTAACATCTCTCTGCAGTGCCACCGCTGCCAAGGACGCCCTTGGTGACAAGATTGACGAGACCACTCACGACAAGAAGGCCGACGTAAGTCCTCCCTCAACTACGATCGATCAGATTACACGAGACTAACCGAAACCGACAGGTCCACAAGGAGGCCATCTAAGTTCTCTCCTCCAGTATTTCGGATCGACATGAGAACAACATGAATCGACATGAATCGGAATGGCGTTGAAAGGGAATAGCGTTGGGACTACATAGGCTGTATTTACCTACACCTAATACAAACAGTCAAACACCAGAACTACTAGAGAGGGTAGAGTGAAGTGAACATGTTGTGATTTGATCCTCGTAAAACATCCATTGCTTGAACGGAAGTAGGGTTTAAGTTTGGTCTATTCTGATCAGATTTGCTCGTATGAGGCTATGAATGTAAATATTGTACTGAGCGAAAAAGTGTAACGGTACGACACCTAATCCCGAGCCTATGGCTGGTGGCTGAGAAAGGGACCGCGTATTATGTAAAATGTCAAAAACATATCTGCATTGAAGCCTTCCTACACGAACATAATGTACTGGCTGATGTCGTATGTTTCGGATTGTGTCCTTTCACCAGTAAAGGCGTGGCTGTTCTTCTGCGTACCATAGTGGAATGGGAGAATGGAATAACTTACTGAACATTCTCTGCCACTTTACAGCCACAGACATCCGTATTCTTAGCCTTTTATTCGCTCATATCGTCGGCTGCCCGTGAAAGGTCTCTAGATGCAACATAATGATTATCGACACCCGAGACTAGCCTGCCATATCCTAATCGAGTGTTGCTCTCATTTTCCCGAGTTGGCCAACCCTCATGTACCTCTTGTGCACTGAATCTATGTCCGATTCATCGCTCTTCCAACTCACACTTTTGTACCTCGAAGTGGTTAATCTTGTATGAGTCAGACTACCTGCACGCGAACGTTCTTCAACATAACAATTCTGTCACCACTGATATAAGTAGCACAATGTCTGCGGCTTAATATCCACTCCGACCTCCCAGCAAGACAGCTCTATCTCAGACAACGGGCCCAAAAGACTACGCATAGCATCAGTCACCTAGTCGAAGTGTCTGACCGACCGAGGAGGAGGCTCGTGGTCAATATTGGTTTCTCAGCTGGCCCTAAGCTTTCTGCCAGAACAAGTCAGGCCTTGGAGAACACTTCACAGATATGCCCATGCGGTGCTCAAAACTCTTGGTTTGATTAAAGCCATTCAATTGCCAACCTATGGAATGATGCTTCTACCTACTGAGGAGCCGATTTCGTGAAGAGATTAAGGGCATTGAATGAACAGTCATTGACATTCTTCATGTTTGGCATGAGTCTGAGACAGAAGCAGAAAATTCTGTTAAAGGTCCCGTGAAATTCCTGATCTCTGTGCAGCTTTGGTCCCCCTTTCCACAATGCCAAGCTCGAGGAAAGCTCAACACGGTCATCCTGAGAGAGTAGCATTTCCGTTGAGCTAACTTGCCACACATACTACATGAGTACAGGCTATAAGCCATGGATGCCGATATGGTGGAAGCCTGGCTTGTGAGACGGAATACCACAGATGGGAACGGACGCCTGACTTCAAATGCTATTCTGCCGCCATTCGAGGTATCTGTAGAGGTTTCTGAGTTCTTAAAAGACAATTGCATCGCCAGTAGGAGCTTCCCGGAACCTGAAGAAACCACGGCCATCACCGTGGAATTCAGGGGGTTAGACATAATCAGGTAAAGGAGTCATGAAGCCCCTCCAAATTTATCATACACTGACCTACCATTTCTTGCCACTTAGGGTTGATTTCATCTTTCTTGCGAATTGAGGTCAATCGACAACTTCCGGTAATCTGTTGATCAACATTGCCTCACTTCGCCATGAGGGCACCGCTCGCGACACTGTCTGCTTGATTCTGGCTGGTCTTATACGAGCCTGGAGTACGGAACTCTGCCACACCAGCTGTTAAGTCCATCGCTGATGGCTCAGTATTGTACCTCCGTATGATTCTTTGGACCCAGCAAGTCATCAACCTCGATCTCCACCCAGAGTTCGAGCGACCTATGCTCTTCGCGGAACAGATGGCTGAGGTGTTTTGTTCCTCGCTAGAAGCCAGGATCTAGAATGGTTGTTAAGTGTCTGAACACAGCGCCGATAGTCGTGATGCATTTGCGCTTCGCGGAGGCTAGTATGGCTGTGAGATGCTACACACAGGTGTCATGACCCCAACGCATCATTCTTCCCGAAGAATGTTTGAATTGACTTACGCATTCGATCGGAACAGAATAATGCATATGAAAGTTGATGATGGACTGACTGCTGCAAGCCCCTTAGACTTGTTCTAGAGTAAGTATTAGAGCAGAGCCTGACGAGAGCAATATTTACCTACTTCCCGCGTATCAAAATAAATACAGATTTGGTGGCATCTTCCACGACAAGCCAGCAGGCTGAACGAATGGGAAACCCAAACAATGTTAAGACAAAGAACTTGCTATTACGAAAGGCGCAAACACAACTGCGAATACAGGCGTGACTGTGTTGATCACCCCTAATTAATCTTTGTATGTTTTCGCATGGACTCTCACCGGGCCTGGATGTCACCCTCTCTTCAACAAGATGGGGAGAATATGCAAGACTTGGACAAAACTCAATGCGATTACTTCTATTCAACAACAATGATTTGCCACAAGAGACTCTTGAAGGCAGAATGATAGGATCCTGATGAGCTATTTCTTACTGTCTTGCTGACTTCTGCTTTTTATCAAAATCGATTAAAAACCTAGAATTACCTCGCTATTTTCCATGTAGAGCAACTATACTAAAATCGCTATAGAAAGAACACCCTCATGTTTCTATCATTAGCCCAATTGAAAAGCAAAACAATGTCCCTATATCAGCCCACCAAACGACGATCCTCCAGAAAGCAACACATCCCCCCCCC